GAAGCTTCTCACGCTCGCCAGAGCTGCGGTCTCGATCCCTTGGCCTGTCATGCTCACCTTGAGCAACAAAGGCAGCCGCCTCGGGCTGAATTTTCCGGTTCTGTGCGATGAGCTTTTGCTGTTCAGCATTTAATATGATGTTAAATGCTTCACCCAAATTAGCGATAGGCTTCATCGCGAGTACTTGCGTTCGGACACCACCAAAAGCCTCGTCGAGGCCCATAAGGAAGTCAAAAACTCGTGCACTTTCTTGTTGTTCACGAGCGCGGCGAGAGACGCCGCACACGCACAGTCCGCAAGTGCAGATCGGGGGAGGAGTAATGGCAGAGGATTCCTCCCAGAGCGCCTTTAAGCGCGTGTAAAAGGTCGAGACGGGCCGCTTCTCTTGTTGAAGAAGCGAGATGAGGCGACGCAGTTCATAGGCGCGCGATGAACTTCCTTGGCCGAACCGCTCTTGCAGGTCCACCCAAATAACACGAGCACTCTCCGCGAAGCGAATGCTGCTGCGGATCTCCTTGTCCATTGAGGTCTTCAGCCAGCCTTTGACCATGGCGTCACAACGGACCCAAGCTCCTCGCGCCGGCTGATCGGCAGGCTTGACGAGAGTACCATCCACAAACCCATACTTATTTTTGGCGAGCAGGGCGTCCTTCATATCGAGGACCCATTCGCCGTAGTTCGAGGCAGTCAAAACATCACCCACGAGCATATTCCCGGGGCCATCAGACTTGTGCAGTTGAAGCTCGTCGGGCAAATCATCCTCCGACCTCAAACTGCTCGATGCGGGCTGCTTCTCACTATTCTTCACGACGGAACCAGTATCATCGTCGTCACTCATGATGAAGCGGCTAGATCACCGGGAGCTTAAAGCTCTGATACCATGTAAAATAGTGCGGAATTGTAAACGAGACTTTTATTTACGTGGTTCTTCCTCACGTTGTGTGAGGCTTACATCCACGGGAAACCCTTTATGCTTTTATTGATTGATTGATCGGCTGGTTACACCAAGTCGTCTCTTTATACCCTATGTTACAATTATCATCTAGGGTTACAGAGTTTGTGCAATGAGTGACGAGATGGGAGGCCGATGCCGACGTGGGCTTCGTCTGTGCATGGGCTGCATGCGTCTCGTGTGGGCTGCATGAGCTGGTAACCAACTCTCGGCCCAATACCCTGTCCGGAGACGGAGGCCGCGCATCGTGACGGAGACGGGAACGACGCTAAGGGACAGAAACGGCGGTGGTTTGTTTTTTTTATTCTTTTTATAATTAAAAATAAAAAATTAATATGCAATTACTACATTGCCCTTCATTAGATTGGATCAATAGGAGCCCTTAGATTTTAATGAAGTTGAGTGGCTGAGATTCACTTAGCCATGTGACTAAGGGGACCCCCCTTAGTCACCTGATCTTAGCCCTACCCTCACCCAATCAAGTTGAATTTTACATTTTTATGTTAATTTATCAATTTAATCAATACGTACGTACGCCATTCATGTTAGAAGCAGGAGGCACCTATATATAGGACGCTTATTTATGTTTTCTCAATAGTTCAATTCGGATAAAACTCTGAGTCTCTCTCTAGAGCCGACTTACTATGCCGCTCCCGGTTATTCTCCTCTCAATACTAACTTGAGCTTCGGAGAAGGTCCTCGCCGACCACCGCCGGGGGGTCCCTCTTTTGCAGGTGTCCATCTCGGCGCTCACCGGACCTCAAAGACATTGAAGCAGGCTCCTCGGAGCTTGGCATCAACATCATATAACACATTTGATCATGTTTAATGAATTCAATTGATCGATTAAACATTATTTATATATTTTAAATTAATTAATTTTATATATGTTATGGCTATTGACATACTATTAGACATACCATTAGTTTAGAGATAAAATAAAATGTTTGTATGTAACTTACCAGGAAAGTACTTGTCTTGCCACTTATAGACCAATTATTCGTGGATTGAAAGGTACATTTCACATCTAAATGTAAGGAAGTGGTTAAATAGCATACATGGGCCTCTCCCAACAACTCGAGTTATTGGGACTAGTTGGTTTATGACATGGTATCAGAGCTGGTTTGTCCTTGAGGTCACGTGTTCAAATTCTCACGGCCCCCAATAACCGTTATCTTCAAGCACATGGTATGGCGGACCTGTGCAAACTTCAAGCCCATTAGTCGGCGTGTAAGGAAGTGGTTAGATACCATACATGGGTCTCTCCCAACAACTCGAGTTATTGAGACCAATTGGTTTATGACAAATGTATCCTCCAAAATTCTTGGGTCTTACCATTTCCAAGTCCGTTTGACAAATATTAATCGTTGTCTTCAAGCACATGGTATGGCGGGCCTGTGCAAACTTCAAGCCCATGAGTCGGCTTTCGTTTGAATGGGCGTGTGAGTAAGTGATTAAATACCATACATGGTCCTCTCCCAACAACTCGAATTATTGAAACCATTTGGTTTATGACTAATTTATCCTCCAAAATGCTTGGGTTTTACCCTTTCCAAGTCTGTTTGACCTCTATAGTTGCTACTAATTTGGCATGGTCAAGTTTCAGTATTGAAAATTGAACCTATTGGTATTTTTACATTTCGAAACTCGACCTAAGCTCATCCAAATTATTTTAACATGTAGACAGTTTAGGTCAGAGTTTGAACATGTTAATGATTTTAAACTTCATCCGGATCAGATTAGGTCTTACCAGTTCCTTTTTTTTTTAAGCCCGAATAAGTAATAACCCAATTCAGATTTTTTATATATATTATCACCATCAGACGGCACTAGAAAGCTCCATGTTTAATCAAACTTGAAACCCAATCGGGTTTCTTCCGTCGTTCTTTAAGAAGGTTAACCTAACCCTAATATAAGAATGTTTTTTTTATGTGCTAACAAAGGTACTAGGAAAATTGGTAGCCTAACCATCCATGTTTCATCTTGATCAACACAATTGGTATGGGCTAACAAATGCGCCGGTGAGCATTCTGTCCGTCACCTTGCAGTTAAGGGTGTGCAACAATTTGGTCCGGTCCAGATCGAACCGATTGATGAAAATCACTGTTCATTAGTGAAACACATCTTAGAAACAAGGTCCGGATCATCATTTCATTTAGTCCATTTCATCTGATTTGATCCGATCCAAAAATCAGTTAGGTCCATCATTTCTTAAGCAATTGTAAAATTCATGAGTACCAAGTACCAGACCATATTATCCTCAAACTGTTTCGATCCCGTCTAAACTTTGGTTTGATCCGATATGATTCGGTACAGACCGGACCATTGCACACCCTTACTCACAATCTATTTCAACCTCATCATCGACGAAATCAAAGCGACCCATAAATTTCCCATTCTGATCCCTGCATCTGATTCTCCAATTATTCCGTCAACCATTCACGGGCATTGGTCATAAATTTCCCATTCTTCAAGTATTTTCTTGTCCCAGACGAGCCAGAGGGCCACTGCGAACCTACCTATCTCCTCATCAGATTCCGTCTCTTGGAGATCACACAACCATTCTTCACAGGTAAGCACTTCTTCCTTTGAGTTTAAGACATGATGAGATGTTTAAGTTTCAGATGGAAGACTGATGATGATGATGATGGAGATGAAGACGAAGACGAAGGCTCGTACGAATAGGATACTGAGGGTATCTTCATCAAGAAGCGATGATCCGCACAATGGAAACTATGTATCTCCAATCCACAAACGCTAAATAGTACTTAGCTTGATTAATCGGTTCAAACTTCCAAGTTATGTGGCCATGGTGTGCCCTGTTCTGGAAAGGAGGATGCTTTTTCTTTTCTTCCTTCTAATTATAAATTAGGGTTCATAGATCTATAAAATATTGTACACAAACCAAACTCACATAGTTTACAAACTAGAGTATCATATTGTACACAAACAACATTGACATAATCTATAAAATAAAACCATATTGTTACAAATGATAACGAGATGAAATACAAATCATACATAATATACAAACTAGACCGCATCATTTGCAAATCAAAGCGGGACAAGGTATGCACATTAAAAATCATCATAAAATTAGGATGCATATGAACTTGAACGCTCAGAACGAAATTCAAATCCAGTCTCAAACTTTCTTAATTGTTTATTTAGAGATAGTTTGTATGCTTTATTTTTAAATGAGACCATTTAATTTGATTGTTGCTTCAAGTTCAGTTGATATGGGCGGACAGCAAGGATGGGAAGTATACAGCACGGGAAGGATACAGGAAATGACTAAGTGAAGCTCGAGCAGAGAGAGCTGTGCCGATGACAGGAGATACGAAGCTGTGGAGGAAATTATGGAGAATGAATGTGCCGCCAAAGGTGAAACACTTTATGTGGCGCTTCGCTCGGAATTCTCTTGCAACTGGGGATCATGTAAGCACTCGAAATCAGCGACGAGGAGACGCCTATCCATTTTGTAACATGAAGGAAACTCAAGTGCATGCTTTTGCGCAATGTAATTGGGCAAGCAGGTTATGGCGAAAATCGCATGTAGCTCATTGTTTTGAGGTGAGGGGAGACGTGCTGAGTTTGGAGTGGGTGACGAAGGTGGCGGAGATATCACAGGAGACAGAATTTGAAGACTGGTGTATGTTATTGTGGATGCTCTGGAAAGAAAGGAATTCTCATATGTTTAATGGGGTTAAATCTGCAGAGGAGAAATAGTCCCAAGAGCAGCTTCATTGCTCGATGAATACCGACAGCAGCAAGAATTTTTCCAACTGCCACAGCAAAGGCAAGAAGTTCGTCATTGGACGAAGCCGACAGCTGGGCGAGTGAAGTTGAATACAGATGCTGGAGTTTGGGCGGACGGGAGTGGTCTAGGGGTGGTTGCTCGTGATGCTGATGGACGTTTCCTATTGGCGGCGGCAAAGAGGATTAAAGGAGAATTAAACCGAGAGATAGGAGAAGCCTTAGCGGTGGAACTTGGCCTACAACTAGCGCAACAGTATCAGCTAGAAGCCTAGAAGGAACTGTTCTGGAAATGGACTGTGAAGCGGTGCTAAACGGTATTAGAGATGCCGATCGAGACTGGACGGAATTTGGACTGGTATGTAGGAGTATCAAGCGCATTCTTGGAGAGATAGGAGGTGGAGAGATTAAGCATGTTTACCGGACTGCAAATGCAGCGGCACATATTATGGCACATGTGAAAACTAGATGGGATGAGGTTGAGGTTTGGATTGATCGACCCCCTATGGTTCTTCTCGACCAGCTTGAGCTGGACAATGTAATGGCTTCCCATGATTAATAAAGCCTAGCGCAGATTATCGTAAAAAAAAATGGATGTTACTGTAAAGCTGTGATATCCCTAAGAAGGGACGCGCTAGTAGAGCATAGACTCGTATGTATTCCGCAGAATAACGGAGGGGACAAAATCTGTCATTTCCAAATTTTTGGCAAAATACACTTGTATTAGCAAAACTTTTGCGTTTGTGTTAATAATAGTCAAATTTGGAGAAATACCACTTATAGCCACTTCCGTCCAATACTTTAACGGTGTTATCTGACATACCGACTGTACTAACGGAAACGCTGACTTGGCGCAACATTACTGCCACATCTACAAGATATATAAAGGCAAAACATGGGTTGAAATTCTCCCATTTCAAATTTCGTGGCTTGAGAGTGATTCTAGGAAGGTCATTTTTGTCATTGCACCCAGTTTATGTTTATATATTAAAATTATTATCATTAGAGTTCAAACTTGGGTCAATTAAATGAAGAAAGAGCATTATAACCAACTAGGCTACATTTTATTTGTTGTTATTTCTTTGATTAAACTCTAGGAATATGTTTGGTGATGATGCTTCTATATTTATGTTTTATCTTAAGTTATTTATGTTTTATAGAAAGAGATTAGTTTTGAAATCGGAACTCAAGTAGTATTGAATCAAACATTAATATTAAAGTGCATGTGTTGTTTAGTTTAGACAAAATACTGAAGTGTAACCAAAACATGGACCTTTGTGACGAGTATAATCATTTTTTTTTTTTTTTGTGACAAATCTACACATAAACTTCACATCACAGGCTAAATCGATAGATGATATTTAGCAATATAAAACGGTTGAACCACAGTTAAATAATGACTTCAGTATAAAATACTTTACTATCAACTTTTTTCGATATGATTTTACAATCTTTTGGTTCAAATAATTCTTTTACACTGGTGGAAACATAAGTTTTAAGGCACATTTTGAATTATCTATTCCAAAAAAGCACAAGTCAGTTAGCGATAATGAGAATATGCAATCTCATGCAACCCAAAAGACACATTGCAACTTCTATCTTTCTAAAATCAATGTATACTACTCATACCCTCGCTCATTCATCAACTTAATGAGTAACATATATTTCATGTAATATTATTTTCATACGTTTTTATTTACTGAATTATTTCATGAAAAAAATATTTATTGCATGAAAATTACTTAATATATGCTAGACATGTCTCTGATCTGAGAATAATTTGGGAAGTCCGTGCGTACACAACACATTGTCCAACTAACTATTAGCGACAACTTAGCATCATGTCCTATATATTTCAAATCAAGCAACTTCGGATTCATTACCAACAGTGTGGTAAAAAAGAATGCTCTCTATTGAGAAAAACTTAAAGGACATACTAAACTCTATGAGACATTTTCTTTCATCCTAAATGTTGATTATTTATGTATTATGAGAAGCAACTCTAATATTCAACTATATGGTTTAATTAAGTAATGAATGACAATTAGTTATATATTTTTTTTTTCATTGTAATGCTTATATTATATTTTTTTCTAAACATATTATGAATAGTTGGATCACTTTCAAAAATGTTATGTGCATATAGAAAACAATCATTTCATGTATTTCAAATTATTTGTTGTATCTATTATTATATAACATATTAATCGACAAAAAATTTCCGACCAACGGGTCGGGACCTGTGCTAGTAGATTAAGAAAGAATAATGAAAAATAAATTTAATAAAAAAAAAATTTATTAAAAGAAATTCATTTAACAAAAAAAAACTCCATCACTCCTCTCTCCTCCCACCACTCAATTTTTTTCTTTCTCTCTGTCGTTGAAATATCTTCTCTTTCAGATCTGAACGCTTATTGTGAGAGCGGGTTTCAGGAGGAGATCGAGTATCCTCCACACAGCGCTTCCTCCTCGCCGTCACCCAACCTCTCTCCGGCACCTCCTCATCGTCTTTTCCCTTTGCTGCACCGCCGCCACCGCCACAGAGCTAGCCATCACAAAATGGCGATTCAAGCTCTCAAGACTAGGTCGACAGGGTGAAGGAATAGTCGAGTTGCTCTGGGCTCCGGTCGTCTCTAGATGTAGCAAAGTGGAGAAAGATGATGCGTCGCAGGAGGTCGAATCTGAGGGCTCGGGGTTCTCGACAATTTTGAATCTGAGGGGCGCACAAAGCGCTTCCGAAGAGGAAGGAGGTGATGTGGCAGCGAAGATCTCTCAAATACGGAGATGGTGATTTCTGCAGCGATATTTCCAGCTCTCAACTTCCATGCAGTTACCCGATTTGAAGCTTTTCACAAAAAACTACCCAACGGGAAATTTGGGGAGGAATTTGGGGGGAAATATGGGGAAAGCCACAAAATCTACCCTACCTCAAATCGACGAGAAAATTTGGGGAAAACTTCAAAATCTACCCAGCGGAAAATTTAAGGAGGAATCGCCGCTTCAATCGCCTGCAGGAAGGGTGCAAACCCAGTGATTTTGGGAAGCTTCAAAATCTACCCATTGTCTATTTTTTGTTATTTGCGGGAAATTTGGGGTGGAATTGCTGCTTCAATCACCGGTACGCAGGGGACAAACCCTAAAACGAAATCGGGGAAAGGGGAGGAAAATTTTAATATTTTTTTTACTAATTTATGATGTGTAAATATTAAATAATTTTAATATATGACGTGTCACTTTCGGCTTATTTGGCGCTAGTCAGCAAACCGTCAAAAAAGTTGACAGTGTTAATAACACCGTTAAAGTATCTAACGGAAATGGCTATATTTGTCCTACATCAACTTAAAAGCTGGCTATAAGTGGTATTTCTCTAAATTTGGCTATTATTGGCATAAATGCGAAAGTTTTGACTATACAAGTGTATTTTGCCTTTCCCCCCGTAATTTCCATATTTCCCCCGCTCTATTATCCTGTATATTATAACTAGCTCTTACTCGGCCCTTGACCGAATGAGTTTTTTTTTTATCATTTACATTGATTAATTTATAACTATATTTAAAATATTTTGAATTTACCCATAAGTAAGTGAAGTAATTAACTTTAGAGGTGTTCTGCGACACAGAGGTTGGAGAATGATTGACGTTGTTGCTCTTTGAGGGGTCAGGGCTAAAAGTGAAATCAGACCAATTGACCCAATTAAGGGTGTCGTTATGGTCCCAAGGAAAAAACATTGACAAAAGTTGTTGAGTTGGACATGTCAAAAGATGTATTTCACACTTATTTTTTAAAATTTTGGTTCCATCAAATTTTTCGATGAATTTCACTATCATGTAATCATAAACACAATCCAACAACATCAAACTTATGATCGACCCAATTATTACACACGTCGTTAATAAATTTATCTTGTGACTTGGTTACTCTGTCTTTTTTTTTTTTATGGTGAGATACTCGTCTTTAACAATTGGGAGTTATTATATGAAAGAAGATTCGACCACATACAATCCCAACCCAAAGAGCATTATCACAATACTAATTTTTATTATAGAATCTAAAATAGCTATACTTGAACTTTATCCAACATTGTTTCATTTATTTTCTCATAAACTTTAGCCACATGGAATTAACCTTTTGTCTTGAAATTCTAATTTCACACTTAGTTTTGTAGCTTTATATTTCCACTAAGTTGTCAAATTGTACAAGTTTGATATCTTAATAACTTTGAAGATTTATTACATTGTCATAAAGAGATGAATATATACAATTAACAAAAAATTAGAATTATCCTGCCAACCGGCAGGGGAATGGATCAGGTGAGTAACTTTATGGTGAGTAAACATGAGTAACCCGTCCACATCAGCATGACATCAGCATCCTCTCTCTCATGGAAAGCCTTTAATTTTTCCCTCTTTAATCTTTGACGGACGATTTCTCGCTCATTTTAAGTCGAAATTTAATTTTTTTTGCACAGTTAAATCATATTAATTGTGCTCTTCAAAATGATATCCACTTTAATATATTTTTCGAACAAACAAAATTGAGCCATTTTTTACCAGCCTATATCATATGGTATTGACTGGAATTGAAATAAAAGCATACCTATGTTTTGAAAAACGTACCATGGTGGTATGAACAAACCAATACTGTAGGATGGTTGAATACATGATATAGAAGTATATTAATTGTATTTTTGAAAGTAAAGTATATTAATTGTAATTTACGACTTTTAACATTGTATACCACACAATACCACCCCGTACCAGGGTGGTATTGTCTGGTATTGTGTGGTATTTTTTGGTCCTGTAATTTGTTCACCCAGAAATTTGTAGTTACAATAGATCATGATGAACTCGTCCCTTCTGTGCAAACGTTTTCAAAAACGAATTAAAAACGAAGAAGATACCATACAATACCACCCCGTACCAGGGTGGTATTGTATGGTATTGTGTGGTATTTTTTGGTCCTGTAATTTGTTCACCCAGAAATTTGTAGATCCAGTAGATCATGATGAACTCATCCCTGCTGTGCAAACCTTTTCAAAAACGAATTAAAAACGAAGAAGATACCATATGGTATGCAGTTGGTACCGAGAGGCCAGAATTTTTTTTTCCTAAAAAAATATTGAAAATTGATCTCATTTTGTAGAGCACGGTGAACTCGTTCCATCTGTGCAAAAAAAAAAAATCCGAGTTAAAACGAAAAAGATATGAGTCAATTAAGAAAGCTAGTGAAAATAAAAATAGTCTTTAATTCTCCATCCTTAGATCTGGATTTTCTAAATGAAGGGTCCAGATTTGGTTATTGATGGGTGCATAACCCATGGTTATGCACCCTATCTTGAGCCAACCGGCAGGGCCCACAATCCAGTGGGAGGGGAGTTCGATCAAATTGGAAAGGGAGGTGCACGGAGCTAGGCTAGCCGTTTAGGGTTGGCTATTTGGTCTGGGACTGTTTGGTTTTACTCGAAACAGAACCGTATAACTCGGACCGGAACCAGATTGGGACCGGATAGTAAACAATCCAATCTCATATTCGGACTTAGATTTAAGGTAAAAAACCGGATAAAGACCGAATAAGAGACCCCCAACACCTAAAATCAAGATCAAATTAGGACCGGACCGGGTCAAGACCGGATTGTATCCAATCCAATCTTTGGTCCTTATATTCCCGAAAAGACCGAACTGAGACCGAATCAATTTAGTCCAATTTAACCGGACCGGACCGTATAGCGACCCCTAGCCGTCAGGCTGTACCGGAGGAAAAAAAAATAATCAACTGAATTTACGGTGGTGCGCTGGTAACTTACAGTGTACCAGCCCACATGTTAATGTACCCCTTAAGCCGATTATTTGAATTTTTTTGAATTAGGGAGTGAGGGAACGTGGAGAAGGTAGTGGCGCTACTTTAACAGCCCTGTTCAACCGTCACTACTACACATACCCTAGAGAGCAGCAATAAGAAAAGGAAGAGCAAATAAAAAAAAGAAAATCCAAACCCAATCTCCGATTTCCGCACTCGATCTGCATTTTCCCGGCGGTTGGAAGAATGTAGGCTCTCTGTCTCTGTTCTGTCCGATGAAGTAAGGAAGAGGTAAGTAATCGGAGGAGAAGATAAACAGAGGACGAGACCAATGGAAGCAGCGACGGGGAAGAAGAAGAAGACGAAGAAGAAGAGGAAGGATGTGGAGAGTAGGGTAAGGAAAGGGACATGGAAAGCAGAGGAAGACCAAGTGCTGTTGAAGCACGTCGAGCAGTACGGACCTCGCGAGTGGAGCTCCATTCGATCCAAAGGCCTGTTGCAGCGCACCGGCAAGTCCTGCCGCCTCCGCTGGGTCAACAAGCTTCAACCCAACCTCAAAACGTACGGAGAATTTCTCATTCTTGATTACTGAGTAATCAAATAGTAATTGAGTGTTTTTTTTTTTTTTTATCTGGTTTTGGAACAGGGGATGCAAGTTTACAGAGGAGGAAGAGAGGGTGGTGATCGAGTTGCAGGCCCGGTACGGCAACAAATGGGCCAGGATCGCGGCCCATTTGACCGGCAGGACCGATAACGACGTCAAGAATTTCTGGAGCAGCCGCCAGAAGCGCCTCGCCAGGATCCTCTGCACCACTTCATGTTCTTCCTCCCCTGCCTCTGCCTCTGCCTATGGGAATCTAATTTCCCTTCCAGAGGTCACTTCCATTCACTTCTTTCTTTCTTCATTCTCAAGTAAACAATTAATAGTGAATTTGATACAATGATTGAATATAACAAATGGGTTTTGGTTATGCAGCCGCCGATGTTGAGAACGTCGGAGACGCCAGTCGAGACAGGGGATCTGATGACAGAGTCCAGTTCTTCGTTCCCGCCAAAAATCGAGGAGGACTTCATAGCGTTCTCGCCGGAGATGCTGGCCGGACTGGGAGACGACCCTAATTTCCTCTTCTTCGACGTATTTGGATCGGCGGCGGGAGATCATGGTGATGGCGATATGATTCCTGATGATCATCATCAGCTTGGGGAACAAAAGCTCTTGGAAAAAACCGGCAGCAAGCTTGGCGGCGGCGAGAATGAAGATGGAGACTTCCCTGCCGACGATGACGATGTGTTTGATGAGCTTGACGATCTTCCTAGCCATTCTAAGTGGTGACTCAGGGATCGCCGTCGATTTAGGTTTAGCTAGCTAGTGCAAATTGTTTGTGTGATTATTGTTTTGCTACATTCATTGTTTTAGTCTCAAATTATATGCGTTAATTACCTTTAGTTTTTTGCTTTCCATGGGATATAGCTGAACTATTTTATGGAGAACGTTATTATGTAACTACTTGAGACAAAAAAAAAATAAAGAAGATAGATGCACACAAATCTTAATTATGGAGAAAGTAATTATGTCACCACTTGAGACAAAAAAAATTGATAGATAGATTCACACAAATCTTATTCATACAAACCATAATGCTCTTCCTCCTGCAGTCCTACTACAGTTATCGATCGCCACAATAGCGGAGGTTATTGATGGCAGCAACGGAGTCAGAGGAATGACGGAGTCATCTTCATCTTATAATTTGAACATGTTTTCTTATTTTATTTTGGTTTTATTTTATTTTTTGCGGTAATTACCAGACGTATATTAAGCACTCCCTTTGGCAAATGCCCTCAAGGGTTCACAAAATACAGATGCTCAAAGCCAAAAACAGTCCAAGACTGAACAAAAAGTGTCCATCAATCTATACTAGCCAACAGATTTTAGACCTCAATGGAACTCAATATTAACGTGGCTATACAGACTTATATCCTCTCTAACCACCTCAGCTACCACTCTTGGAGATCTGGGAGACTCTCCAAAAACACTTCTGCAACGCTCCCTCCAGAGAATACAGCAAGTCCAAGACCATATTGAGACCTCGACCGCACCGCAACCTCCACTTCTAAATCTGCTGATCAACCATTGAAGTAGATCATACCAGACCAGAGGCAGACTAATATTTTGCTTCAGCACAGCAGACCTCAGCTCCTGCAAATAGGCATAACGACAAAAAATATGTTATCTACTCTCTTCCACTAGTCCACACAGGGCACATGAACTATCTGTGATCCTTTCCCAGCTTTTCAATTTGTCTCTGGTTACAATTCGATCAAGTACAATGAGCCACATCAGTACCCTGTTACGAGGCAAACTATACTTATTCCAGACAATGTTCCACCAGTACCTCTAGGTTTCTTCTTTCTAATTGTGTCCCAAACAGTGCTCACTGAGAATCTTTCCATTCTTTTACCAAGCCAAAATAACACCCCCGTCTTCAACCATCATTCGATATTGCAGCCAGGGTCTAATTTTCATGACTTTCTTCCAAATCCATGAACCTGATGAGTTAACCCAAACTTCCCACACAGTGGTCCCTCTGAGCCTGTAACGTATAATCCAAGCCACCCAGAAGCTCCCTCCTTGAAGAAAAAGGAGCCAAATTAACCTGGCCAGAGAAGCAGTGTTCCAGGAAACTAGATATTTTAAGCCCCGCCCCCCTTCCCGTTTAGGAAATGTTAGAGAGTCCCAAGCCACTTTTGCACGCCCTGTCCCCTCTCCATGCCAGATAAAATCAGAACAGATCTTTTGGACACTTTTCATAACTTTCTTTGGGAGGAGAAAAATAGTCATCCAATAGTGAATGAGAGAGTAAAGCACTGCCTCGAACAATTGAATCTTTCCTGCATATGACAGCCTACTAGCCCTCCAACTCCTGATCTTACTTGTAATTTTATCAATCAACACAGCACATTCCAAGCTAGAAAGTTTACCAGCAATCAGAGGAAGGCCTAGATATCTAACTAGCAAATTCCCTTCCTTGAAACAAGAAATCCTAAGAGCATTCTCCTTGAATTGATGTGCATATCCTCCAAAGAACACTTCACATTTGTCTGGGTTGCATTATAATCAAGACAGTTTATAAAAATCATTTAACACATTCCTGAGACCATTAAGAGCAAAGGCTGACCCCTTAGAGAAGATGAGCAAGTCATCTGCAAAACTCAGTGAGTTAACCTCAGATTCTTGCACCGCGGATGATATGGAATATAACCATTCATAGCTGCCAGATTGAGCATCCCAGTGAGAGGCTCCATGGCAATAGTGAAGAGGTATGGGGAGAAAGGGTCCCCCTACCTAACCCCCTTAGCCGCATTAAAGAATCCAAAAAGGCTTCCATGGACAGAGATACTAAATGCAGCAGTGCTTAAATAGACATTTATCCACTTCATAAACAATTCAGGGAATCCCATCTTAACCATGACACACTTCAAATAATCCCAGTTGACAGAGTCAAAAGCATTTTTCATGTCAACTTTCACTGCACATCTAGAAGAGATATGGTGTCTTGTATAATTCTGCACAATCTCTTGTGCCATGAGAATATTTTTCAAGAATACTTCTACCCTTGATAAATGCAGAATGATTTCTACTTATAATCGAAGGCAGCACATTCTTCATCTTATTTGCTAGCACTTTAGATATGATCTTACAAAGTACATTGATACAAGCAATAAGTCAGAAAGCACTCAATCTATCTGCATTAGTCACCTTAGGAACTAGTGTAAGAGAAGCAGAGTTCATACCATTAGGAAACTTGTGCTCCAGGAAGAACATTTGAATCCCTTTTGTTATGTCAGGTCCAATAGTCTCCCAACACTTCTGGAAAAAACCAGCAGTTCACCCATCTAGTCCAGGAGCCTTGGAAGGTCTCGTATCGAAAAGGGCATCTTTTATCTCATGTGCAGAAACCTCAGTGCATAATGATTGTTGCTCATTTGTTGAAAGTCTGCCACTCAGTAAATGATCAATGAGCTTAATATTCTCCAGAACATCCTTATTCACTACTCCACATAATTGTAGGTAAAAGGAAAAAGCCTCCTAAGCAATCTCAGGGATCTCTGTTAAAACCTCTCCACTGGAAGAGATAAGCTTCCTTATTTGCTTCCTAGAAGTTGAGATTCGAGCAGAGTGGTGGAAGAAGGAAGAGTTGGAATCTCCAAGAGAAAGCCAACCAATCCTTGACCTTTGCTTAAAGAAGGATTCCTCTGCATCTTTCAATTGCACAAACTCACCAGTAACCCTTTTAACCTCAGCAAATAGAACATCTCCAAGGTCCTGCAAAGCTTCCAACTGCTTTTGTTTCATTTCAACCTCTTTTTCTTTGACTTTGCCAGAGATATCCCAGAACTCATCCTTGTTAAGCTTTCTCAGATCTTGCTTTAACAGATATAACCTTTGCTTTATTCCAAACAACCTTTTACCTGTAACACTTGTCCGCCAGCAGTTATCTAAGAGAACATGGAAAGTATCATGTTGTGCCCACATGTCATAGAACTTGAATGGTTTTGGAAATTGCTTAGCAGGAATCCTAATCCTAGGTTTGATAAGTAGACCACAATGATCAAATCGGGAGCTAAGAATTCCACCACACAATCAGAAAACTTACCTAACCAATCCACATTAACCAAAACCCTATCAAGCTTCCTGGCAATAGGGTTGCCTAGCTGCTGATTCGCCCAAGTAAAAAGGGGTCCAGTAGCCCGATGATCAACAATCTCCATCTCCCATATCCAATCCCGGAACTCCAACATACTAGAAGAGATGGTGACTTCATTTGAAGCCTCAGGGGGATGCATTATTGCATTAAAATCACCCCCAATAAGCCAAGAAAATCCATGAACCTTCCATTTACTCAAACATCTATAAGTAGCAAGTCTTTCCTTTTCATCATTTGAACCATAGACTGCTGTGAAAAAGAAGCTGTCCTGGTTCGACAAAGTAACCAATGATTGAATATAGTTTTCCTCAGTAGCTAGCACTCTGAGCATAGAATCACCTAAACATCGAACCCAAATGCGTCCCAGCTTATGCTTAATATAGTTATCAGTGAACTGATAACCCACAAACTTCTGCCTTACATCTTCTATCTTTTTCACATTCTGAACTCTAGTCTCAGTAAAGCAAAAAGAACTATTTTATGTAAACGTAAGTAACGAAGCACTGAGTCGTGCTTTGAGGGACCATTAAAGCCCCTTGTGTTCCAAATGAGCAAATTCATTTACGAGAGATAGACACCTTGGTGGCAACCCTCTGACTTCGTAACCCCTCCCTAGTTGTTTGCTTCTTAGGAGAAGGCTGCAGTTTTATATTCTTATTCCCACATAGCAGTTTCAAAAGCATTCGAATGCATAATTGGAGTATTACCCTTAACTCGAGACTTTGATTTTGATTTGGCCCCATTGATGACGTAATTGAACTCTTCCTGAGACGGTAAAGCACTTAAAGTAACTGGTGGAGTAAGTGGTGGAATAATTAGCTATCTAGAATCTAAAAGATATATAATGGAGATTCATCTCTCTATTTTCTTTGATTTCAAATTCCTTACAATGAGAGCGAAAATATGAAGGGTACAATCGTTATTACAATTGTTTATTTCTTACTTAAGAAAAAATATATATCATATCTTAACTCGGGTCTCTTCTCATAAAGTTAAGTTATAACCAATTTCACTAAACAAAATTATTGTATTTTTTAAATTAAAATTATATAAGAAGCAAAAATCTGAAAAGCATATGACTTTTTCTGGATGATTAGCTAGCCCACTAAGTCTCCCTTAAGTTTTTTTTTAGTGTTTGATAACTTCATTTTCATTTTTGGATTATTTTATTTTGAGTATAATAGTTAATTTAATTTATTTATGTCTATCTTATAAATGGAGGACCAAATACCATTTATTCAAATATTTCATATCAAATTGCAGTATTAAATATATAAAAGAGATGTGGAACTCTTAACTTAGCATCAATAAATAATCATATTAAGTGAAATTTGAGTTTGTTTAGTTTTGTGGCGAGAGTTATTATTGATAAATTCTTCTTCGTACCAATGTTTAGTTTAGTCATTTATTGAAGCTCTTTGAAGGTATAAATAATCATATTTTTCGATAATTGCCTGCAAATGGTACTCGTGTTCAACTTTGAAGCGATTCTCCAATTCTGCTTCCAATATTTGCATCTCCATCCAATCTATAATTCATCATCGGTCAGCTCTCTTTGTTCTTAATATTTTTGTTGTCGTCATTCTCAAGTGCTGACGACACTACTCCAACCTCGAATTTGTCCCTAGCTCCCAACTTCAATAGCTCCAATGGTTCATGTTCTTAGAGTTCTGCCATAACTAAACAATTTTAGAGAGCAATATTGTCCACAATTGCACTCTATATTGAACCCTTATGTTGTTCAATATATATAGTTAGACATAATAAAGATAGTTATTTGTCCACTACCATCTCAAATATGCATGCTCAACTTATACTAGAACAATGAATGCAAACGTCAAAGAACAATTCAATGACAATGATTTGTACACATTATTCACAATAAAGAACTAAATTCATTTAACTCATTTCCATTAAAATGGTAACAAATTCAATATATATGTCAATATTCTTATATTATACGTCAATATATTCGTGCCATGATTAACAAAGAAGATAAAAATTGGAAAAAATATTTCATGGATACCTTGAAATCCATCAAAGTACAATCGCTTTTTATGGAGAAGACTAATTATGTATGTATCATTAGAAGCGACTCACATATTATTTATGGACTATTTATACAGGCAATATTTTGTTTGTAAACATATATGCTATTAGTTACATTTTTTTGTTAGTAATTTTGTGTTTCTCGTGTTTTCAACATGTTCTAAGCATACTCGAAATAACTTGAGTATTTGCCTAGATAGTTTATGGCCAAATATCAAACAAAACACATATCACTAGTGTAAATGATCACTGCTAGTTATAATTATATTTATGTTGAAAGTTACTAATCTTTATTTATTCTATGCAGACGGATGGGAAGATATCAAACTATGTTTATCCAAGATAGAAACTATGCAATTGAAAATTTCGGGGCATGGTCGGGATTGTCGTTTAGTTGTCTTTGAACCTTGATATCTATCTGTTTTTTAAATCTTTAACTTTAATGAAATAGTGAACTGGATGGGAATTGGGATTTCTAATGTTTACTGGGTGTTCGTTGATGTCCAGGGTTAGAAAGAGCTGAACTAACAAATTTCAAAAGATTTTTTATTGCACAATCAATATTTTGTGATAGATTCCTTTTTATTGTACAGTCACAAAATATTTTGTGATTGTGCAATATAAACTTCTTTTTATTGCACAGTCACAAAATATTGACTATGCAATAAAAAGGAGCGTAGGGCTACAAACGAGCCGAGTCGAGTCGAGTTTTTGCTTAGCTTGAGCTCGGCTCGTTTATAATTTTTTTAGCTCGAGCTCGACTCGAACTCGAATTTTGATCATCCAGCTCGAGCTCGACTCGATTAAAAGTAATCAAGATCGAGCTCGGCTCGATAAAGCTAGGTAAATGCTCATTAACATAGCTTGCCAAGCTGAGTACAAGATCGGCTCAAGATAAGCTCGATTTGAAACCATTCTTGCTGAAAAATGTGTACAAATAAGAACATTAAAAATGATAAAAAGAACACTAGAAACTAAAAATAACATCTAACTTCCACACACATCTAGGCAAATAAACTATCTAGGCAAACGAGCCTAACTAACAAATTTCAGCAAATATTTGGCCATAAACTATCTAGGCAAATACTCAAATTATTTCGAGTATGCTTAGAACATATTAAAAACATGAGAAACACAAAATTACTAACAAAGAAATGTAACTAATAGCATATATGTTTGCAAACAAAATATTGTTTGTATAATAACATATATGTTGAAGCTTAATACAACATGGATACTAGAAGACTCGTTGCAAGACCGAAAATCAATCGTTCTGACCAAGAAATCACAATGGGGAACAGACACGTACCTGGAAACGAAGTTCCAAAAGAGCACTTCTCATGACGACGTTTAGAACTTTAGCGGGCAGGGGAGGAAAAGGTATGGAAATGAAGATGTGCATAAACAAGAAATACGTTGAAAAAAAGTAGAGGGAGTGGGGGGGGGGGGGGGGCTCAGAATGGAGTCATGTTCTCCAATTTGTCAAACAACCCACAACAGACAATTGTCGCACATCGACATACTATTTACCACCGACTTCTTTTAATTTCAATCTGTTGCACTTTATGCCTATTGATCAACTCGCAATCGCCATAGTCAATGAGTAGCGAAAACCGTTGGTCGTCGGGACTTACTTAATCGAGTAAAAGAAAAGTAATTTGCAAATAAATGAAACATATTTGAATATAGGTTAATCAACCAACTATAATTTGCACTTTATCCCTATTGATAAACTTGCGATCATTGCAGTCAAACAAGAGCGAAGACCGTTGATCGCTGAGACTTGCTTAATCGAGTAAAAAAAACAAGAGCGTAGGGCTACAAACGAGCCGAGTCGAGTCGAGTTTTTGCTTAGCTTGAGCTCGGCTCGTTTATAATTTTTTTAGCTCGAGCTCGACTCGAACTCGAATTTTGATCATCCAGCTCGAGCTCGACTCGATTAAAAGTAATCAAGATCGAGCTCGGCTCGATAAAGCTAGGTAAATGCTCATTAACACAGCTTGCCAAGCTGAGTACAAGCTCGGTTCAAGATAAGCTCGATTTGAAACCATTCTTGCTGAAAAATGTGTACAAATAAGAACATTAAAAATGATAAAAAGAACACTAGAAACTAAAAATAACATCTAACTTCCACACACATCTAGGCAAATAAACTATCTAGGCAAACGAGCCTAACTAACAAATTTCAGCAAATATTTGGCCATAAACTATCTAGGCAAATACTCAAATTATTTCGAGTATGCTTAGAACATATTAAAAACATGAGAAACACAAAATTACTAACAAAGAAATGTAACTAATAGCATATATGTTTGCAAACAAAATATTGTTTGTATAATAACATATATGTTGAAGCTTAATACAACATGGATACTAGAAGACTCGTTGCAAGACCGAAAATCAATCGTTCTGACCAAGAAATCACAATGGGGAACAGACACGTACCTGGAAACGAAGTTCCAAAAGAGCACTTCTCATGACGACGTCTAGAACTTTATCGGGCAGGGGAGGAAAAGGTATGGAAATGAAGATGTGCATAAACAAGAAATACGTTGAAAAAAAAGTAGAGGGAGTGGGGGGGGGGGGGGCTCAGTATGGAGTCATGTTCTCCAATTTGTCAAACAACCCACAACAGACAATTGTCGCACACATCGACATACTATTTACCACCGACTTCTTTTAATTTCAATCTGTTGCACTTTATGACTATTGATCAACTCGCAATCGCCATAGTCAAAGAGTAGCGAAAACCGTTGGTCGTCGGGACTTACTTAATCGAGTAAAAGAAAAGTAATTTGAAAATAAATGAAACATATTTGAATATAGGTTAATCAACCAACTATAATTTGCACTTTATCCCTATTGATAAACTTGCGATCATTGCAGTCAAACAAGAGCGAAGACCGTTGATCGCTGAGACTTGCTTAATCGAGTAAAAAAAACAAGAGCGTAGGGCTACAAACGAGCCGAGTCGAGTCGAGTTTTTGCTTAGCTTGAGCTCGGCTCGTTTATAATTTTTTTAGCTCGAGCTCGACTCGAACTCGAATTTTGATCGTCCAGCTCGAGCTCGAGCTCGACTCGATTAAAAGTAATCAAGATCGAGCTCGGCTCGATAAAGCTCGGTAAATGCTCATTAACACAGCTTGTCAAGCTGAGTACAAGCTCGGCTCAAGATAAGCTCGATTTGAAACCATTCTTGCTGAAAATGTGTACAAATAAGAACATTAAAAATGATAAAAAGAACACTAGAAACTAAAAATAACATCTAACTTCCTCACACATCCTTATTAACAAGATAATTTTCATGTTCAAAAGAATAATTAATCCTTCCACAAGCTTTAAACAAGCCAGCTCGCGAGCTTAGCTCAACAAGCCACCGAGTCAAGCTAGCTCGCGAGCTTATCAAGCCGAGCATGGCCTAGCTCAAGCTTGGCTCCTTTACTAACAAGCCTGCTCGCGAGCCGGCTTGTTAAACAAGCGTCGACCGTCGAACGAATTTTTTCCGATCCGATCGCCAAGTTGCTCGCGAGCGGCTTGGCTCATTTGCAGCCCTAGTTGAGCGCAATAAAGATAAATTTCACTTTATACATACAAATTTAATTAACAAAATCCATAATGAAATTCATGAAACAAACAATAGCCTTTTTCAAATCCATAATGAACTCGAAACCCTGATATATACATAGTTTATCAAAATCCAAATTATACAAAAACCTTCATTTTTCAAATTCATGAAGCAAACGACCCCTAATTGTTTGTCTCAATTAAATTCCCTCTCCTTTTCGCTTTCCAAGCAGACCAAGCGGCAGTAGATCACCATTGCCACGAGTTCTTCCACATACTACTAGGGATCATGCAACTGTTTTTGACAGTTCGACAGGTTCATTAATTACCGTATCTGGGAATCCATCAACAACCTAATGACTTGCCGAGCAAGCAAGCAAGCAAGCAAGCAACGGTTCATATTCTATGCACATCCGAAAATTCCTAATCCGCAGTGTACCAAGTCTGTTTGCACTTTGCAGACAACTATATGGTTAAGGTGTCAGATACCAACTTGTCCTACCTATATCATACGTTACAGAAGACAGCTGAAAGCGTTGGTCCAGTGGTTTCTTCAGCAGCTTCAACCTTGTAATTTCAGGGAACAGAAAATCAAACCGCACGAAGTTAGGAAGTAACTCACAGGAAAACAATAAGCTGTTGTCTTCACACGAGTGAAAGAATCATCGGTTTAATACTATGCAGCTGCAAGATATAAGCATTTGAACCAGCTGGCAGCTTACCAGCAATCGTCACTCGCTTTGCTTGGCAGCAGCAGTCACCTGGACAGTGGACACTCCATCCACGAACTTCGTCCGGAAAATAACATTGGCGTTGTTGAACATGCCTTCTTTTAGAGAAACCACAATGAACTGCAGCATATAGTTTTGGAGGAAAAATAAAGCATCGGACTTAAGGAACTAGTACTGGTAAGCGCAAAAAAATGAGTGAAGCCGGGAGGAATATAAACAACATTAGAAGAATGGTAGGACCTGAGATTGCGGGAATTGAGCTTTAATCATTTTTCCAATGTTCTGGGTATGACTTAGATCCAGAGCTGCATCAACCTACCAACCACAAAGCAAAAAATCTTGGATATTATTACTTTAGCTAAAAAATAATAGCAGTGACAGATCAAGTCAAACTGATGTGATGCAATATAGACACTTAAGATAATAAGTAAAACACAGACCTCGTCTAGGATATAGAGAGGAGCTGGCTTGAAGCGCAGAAGTGCGAGTATTAAAGACAGAGCTATCAACGACCGTTGACCTCCACTAAGTTCCGACAATGACTGTTTCCAGACACTGCCGAATGCAACTCGAACCTCCAGACCATCCAAGAAGCTACAACCTTCTGGCGGTTCTAGCTTTGCCATGGTGCCCGGTAATAGTAAAGAGAAGATGGCTCCAAAGTCGCTGAATATATTTGACAATGGCAGTAATTATGATAACAATTGATGTGAAAGAACACAATGTGTAACATAAAACCCCCCACATAACTTGCCTGTTAACTTTCACCCAGGTAACTTCCAGTGTTTCTTTCTTCTTCTCATCGAGCTCCTCGATCACTTTGTTAATTTTGGATTTGTCATTCTAAGGTAAACACAGAGTCAGTAACACGTTTAATGCCCAACTAACTGGGGGCGAAAATCATTAGTAGCATGATGAGGATAGCCACCTCGATAATTTTTTTCTTGGACATCAAGCCATTGTATTCGTCCTCTGCTTTCTCAAACATCGCCATAACTTTCTTGTTCACCCTTTTCTCCAATCTACAGTAGGTTCATATAAGAAAACAATAGCAAGCTACAAGCAATACTAGGTAATAGAACATGCAATCTAAAGTCTGCAGAAAAGCATGTGTTGCACAAAACAGAAGGCTAGTTATACTTATGCAGAAAGGTAGGTAAAAAATTGCATGCTTTCACATTCATAGCCCTGAGGTTAAATAATAGAATGCACTGTCACAATAACCCTCTACTCACCCTGATTGCTCTGCTTCTAACTTCTCCAGTTCCGTCTTAGCCCTATGAGGATCACGTGATTCAAAGTCATAATCAGTTCCACTTCTTCCAAATAACTGTTTCTCAGTTACAATCCAGGCATGCTTCTCCAGCAGTTTTTCAACTCTAGTAGAGCAATCCTTGTGTTCCATTTCCATTCTTTTCACCTATTACAGAATGGTAAAATATCATGTTTTAGATCATTGAGCATGCAAAGTACTAGTGCAAAACCACAAATTTACCTCATTTTCCAACTTCTTTCTCTCAAGCTTGATCTCAGTAATTTTGTGCTGCCGCTTTTGCTGTTCCTTGACGATGCTACTAATTTGGGTATCACACTCTTTCATCTTATGGCGGACAGAATCAAGCTCAGATTGAGCACTATCACAATTCACACGTATGGATGCTACCTGCAACAGTAGCCTTGTTCAAGTACTCCTGCAATTACGTGCATAATACATGTAACAGAACCAGAACCAGGTCTAGATATTACCTTGGCTTTTTGTTCTTGTACTTCAACACCAAGACTATTGATTTGTGCCATCAAGGAGGCTAATTGACTCTCTAATGATGCATGCTCTTTGATGACTGCTTCACGTTCCAAAACCATCCTCTCTCTTTCATGCTCATGCTCCTATTAACAAGACAAAACATGTTAACAACTCAATGCAGTTATTCAGTTAGAGAACTCTTAGCATTTCACAGTATCAAACTTTTGGTGGGTACAAGTTAACAATGCAACAGCAATCCGGCAAAAAAAAAGAAAGCGTTCCTGACCTTGAGATTCTTTGAAGCTGACTGCATTTGGGCCTTTATCTTCTTAACCTTTTTCTCTAGATCCTTTAGCCTTGTTTCCCGACTATTGTCATGCTCCTTTATTGACTTCTCCAGCTGTGCAACAGAGCTGACACACTGATCATACAAAGTCTGTTTTTCTTCTGCCGCAACTTTTGCATCGTCAAGATCTTGCTCAATCTTCTTCACCAATTCACCAAGCTATGACACAATGGAGTGAGATAAGACACAGCATGAGTCTCAATGAAAAGTATGTTACTGATGAAAAGAGTTAGATATACAACCTTATGATGCTCATTTTGTTCAGCCCTCCCTTGAAATAGTGAAAGATCATACATCTTGAGCTCTAACTGTTTCCTGAGATCCACAAACTTTCTGTAAAGAGGCAAGAGCTCCTTGATCTGCATTGAAGATGCACAAACAGACAACTCGCTACAGTAAGAACATCATTTGATGGAAGCTAGGAACAATGAACAGAACCCAGATCCAAAGAGTACTGTATTATATTCCAAGAAGCTTAGACCATTTATAAAAGCAGAGAAGGAAAGGATGCAGAAAAACGGAAAAGGAGAACTGAGCCGCAAGAAAGTACTACACCCCCTAAAGACAAGCACTCAATGAAATATATGATCTGCTCAATGCTATGCCAGATAAACGGACACATACTGTTTACTCGAAATAGATTGTGTAACTATTCAGTACATGAGAAAAAAGAAACTGCCATGATTTTACAAAAGAGTTTCCTGAATCTACCTTGGCATCAATCTCAGACAACCTTTCCTGATGCAGTCTAAGCTTTGATTCAGCTTCTGCCAATTCATAGAGTTGCCTTAATAAATCACCTCCACCTCTGTGACAGAATTCACAGCCATATTAACAATTCCCCTCAAAATTTTATATATAATGCATTCATAAATGAATTAAGTTTATATACGATACTTGAGGGATAAAGAAATAATATAACTTGGCAAATCTGATGGCACACACCCTCTAAGAATTACAAGACCTTGGGTGTTCAAGAACAATCAAGGACTAAAGGATGACTATTTAACACTTTCTGAAAGTAACTGCAACTCCATGTGCAATACTAAAGCATATGAGCAACCAACCTGCGGCTACCACCAGTTAAAAGGCCACTCGGTTGAAATATGTCACCTTCTAGGGTAACACTTGGTGTCCGAATTTCTCGACTAAAAGCAACCTGCAACATACTCCATGACAGATGTAAGTCAGATGAGAATCATACTCTGGTAACCAATTGATAGAACGACCTCATGGTTCAAAAAGTAACGATAACAAAGAGAAAAGGCTGACCTCCTTTGCAGCATCAATATTTTTGCAGACAAAGGTTGATCCAAACACATATTCCATAGCATTCTGCAACAAAAATAAAGTTCAGAACGAGCAGTATCACAGGCAACAGGTTTTTGGAGTAACAGAATAGATATTTGAAGAAGACATACAAACACGTCACAGATTGAACATTGTACAGTCTAGTAAATAGCCACAAGTTTAAGTTCAGAAAGAAACCCTCAAAGTTGGAACTGGGACGATGCATAGAACCAGTACATCCCAGAAATTATCTTCAAGATGGGTGAGTACAATACCTTTAATTCCTCATCATAACCCACAAGAGAAAGTGCCAATTCTGCATTCTCTTTTCCGACCTAAAAAATCAACAATTTTTTTTTATGAATGTGAACGATATATTAAAGGGAAAAGGAAGATCAAGTTCAACAGAGGAAAGAGTAAAGGCAGAAAAAACTCCTTCACCAGAGGTGAAGAAGACACCAAAACCGAACACAAAGAAAAGAAAGAAAACAGAGACCCAGGAAGGGGAAGGGGAGACAGACACAAAAAGCCCAGAAACACAGCAGGCGCAGATAAACGCGCCAAAAAACAGACCAACAATCCTAACCAAAGAGGAAACGAGCTCTGTCTTCATTCCACCTGGACCTTTCCTCCTTACGAATCTTCCCAAGAGCGACAACCCAATCAGGGGTATTTAGAAATCACTAACCAACTTAGCAGCAGCCTGCTGAACTCTGGGCGGTACTCGGTGAGCTTGAATTTTATTTAGAGGAATAATTGTCACTCTTCTGCGAAGTTCGCCATTTTGAAGAAGTTGCTTTCCAGTATTTTCAGTGTCCACAACAACATTATACAACTTTCCACCAGCAGTAACCTGCTAACAAGCACAATGTAAGAACACATACAAGTTTGTTAAAGCACCACATACAAATTGAATACACAGTTTCCTTACCTCTAAGGCAGTCATTGCTGATTTATCCTTCACTTCAATAAGCTTTGCTACTACCCCTTTTACTTTGGTCCGATCAAAGTTTTTCGCAGGATCACGATAAGTGAACTGAACGTTTGATAAATGTGCCGAGTGAGCTCTTGTTTCATCTTTTAGCTTCTGCACTAGGTCCATCTCGGACGCACGATCCTAAAGAAGGAAAGTAATAGAAAGGCATTTAGGTGAAAATGAATCAAAACTAAGTCCATCTTGAACGACAATGTAGGCCAGAGATACAGTATATGAACCTTTTCTAAAGCTTCCATCTGGCCCTCTTTATATGGAAGAGATTCTAATGCTGATTTAACATTATCCAGATCTTCTTTCCTAGCATTCAGTTCATTCTCCACCGAAACTGCTTCTTGACGCTTCGAATTCAATTGCTTCCTTTTGTCATTGAGCTCCTTCTCACAATGGCTAATTTTTGTTTTCAATTGCTTTAGTTCTGTTTCTGCACTGCCAACGGCACCTTTAGCTTCACTTAATTGATCTTCAAGGCATTTTTCCTCATTCCCACTGCTCTTGCCAGCTAGCACACCCTATCGACACCACTTTCATGAGCATTTGGAAATATGAAAAGCAAAACATTTCTCAGTGCCACGAATAAAAATGGTCAACTTGCTACGCTTACTTGGTATTCTTTCTCGTAGTCTTCCAAGCTCTTCGAAAGTTGCTCGGCCCTTTGCTTGACATCAGCTGCTCCATCTTCGCATCTTTTTACAGCAGTGGCCTTGTCTTCTATGGACTGCTTCAGGTCTTCAATATTGTGGACAATCTAATAAATCAAAAGATTTTCAGAGTAAGGAACAGAGAGAAAACAGAAAATAGAATAATTGAAGGACATCAAAACTCCAAGTGCTGACAAACAACAACAGTCGATAAGATCAGATCATGACACCTTTTCAGCATTTTGACTTTCACCCTGAAGAGTATCCTCTTTATTACTCAACACAGACACTTCGCGTACAAGGTCCTGAGAGAGCGCATCAACTTTATCCGACAAGACTTTTACTTCTGCCCCCATTCTGGCTTCTTTTTCGGCTGTCAACTTCGAGACCTCAGTCTCCATCTCCTTTATCTCAACCTGCATCTTTTCAGTATTATCATCAATCTCTCTAATCTTGCCTTTAATTTCCTCCACCTCGCCAACTGCAGTGTCTCTTATCCTCTCAGCTTGAACATACTCATAGGCAATGCAGAACCTCTTCAGCCGATCCAATTCCGCGTTGCCATTAGCCCATTGCATATACTGCATTCGTTCCTTTCTCAACTTTCCCAAAGCAGGTAGTATTTCATGGTCAAGAAGCTTATTAATCTCATCAACCTTACCCTGCTTCTTCTCAAGCGTTTTCAATGCAGAATCCTTCTTGGTCTCGTACATTCTTGTTCCAGCAGCCTCCTCAAGCATAGATAAGATCTCGGGAGGTTTCATGTTTAGGACCTTCGTAATGCGGCCTTGCATAATTAGAAAATGCGGATTGTTGACATTTAGCTGCACCGAATGAAATAAGTTCTGGACTTGACTGGGTTGGGCAAGCTTCCCATTTATCAGATACTTGTTCCTTCCTCCAACCACAATCTGCAAATTACCCATAAAAATTGGTCTCTCAAAGCAATATAGAAGTTGAGCAATTTCATATATAGCATTTACCGAAATCCCTACATTAGCTACCAAAATGCTACAAGGACGACAACAAAAAATCTCCCTCGAACCAAATTACGGATAAAAGAAAAGAGAATCTACGCTATAAAGCACACTGTAACTAACCTGTCTAGTAACGGTGATTTCAGAATGGTCTTCATACCCAAGCGGGCTCCTACTCCGATCCGAATTATCAAACACAACAGAGACTGTGGCTTTGGTAATTCCTGCTTGGCCTTGCTTGTAGACGAGCTCCTGGAGATTTGAAGCACGAACCTGCTGCAAATTGGTAATTCCCAGCACGAAGCAAATGGAATCGAGAATATTCGATTTGCCAGAACCGTTGAGCCCAGTTATAGCATTGAAGCACTTATCGAATCCCTTCACCACCGTCCTGGTGGCATAAGATTTGAACCCCTCCAAGCTTACCTCCTTGATGTGCATTTCTCCTTTGAATTTCAAACAAGAAACCCTAACAGATACTAAGAAGGTGCTTCAAGGATAACGAAGAGCGGGAAATTATACCGGTGGTTGAAGAGGGCTAACTACAGGGCTTTCCGAGTTAGAAAGCCATCAACCACTGATGACTGAACTGAGCCCGGAATTTCAAAGTGGAAGATGCAGAACGAGTTCAGAAGCTTTGGCGGGAGAGGAACTCGCTCATTTTTTTCGAAGTTTTGGGATGACGCGCTCTCTCTTCTCCAAGACAAAAAGCGGGAAAATGAACTTTCTGCATTAGTCTCTTTTGCCCCTTTTTCAAAGGGCCGAAACGAGCCCATATATGATCTTGTTGGGCTTCGATGAAGTCCCAAGGCCCCTTTTCTTCTTCTGTTTTTTATTATGCCCCAAGGCCTTGATTTCGGTATTGTATTTTCCTTTTATTCCACCGGCGGGAAAAGAATTTCGATAACTCCACTCCACTGCATCAAATTCACAAAATCTGCAATGCAAATTACCTTCGGTTTTGAAGTTCAGTGATGATATCCTTCAATTTGAAGGGTACACAACATGTAAAGGAATAAACAATAGTACAACATTGCATTATAAGATCATTTCCGCACAGAATTATACATACACGAAGCATTGTACCGTCGTCAAAAGCATATGTACAAGACAATATAACAAACCAAAACCCATCATCTAATAGTACCATTTGGGTCTTGATTCCTCTTCTTTGTCTGTTAATTCTCTATATTGGTACCTCTCTGCACCGGCCTTGCCCACTGGTAGTGGAGGCCTAACAAAGATCTCAACAGGTTTCGGGACATGAACAACGAAATGCAGCTCTTTTGCAGACTCTTCTAACTGCAGATCAGAGCTCTGAGGTGTCGGCGATTTCCTAACAGGCTCAACAGCAATCCATCCCAGGCCGGATATTGCTATATCACTTGCAGGCCTATCCCAGAACGTAATGAACGGATTCAGTTTAGAGTTCAAAGGAGGGGAGAAACGGCTTCTGATAACTAGAAATGAGCGAAGTACCTATGTGCTTCTTCAAATTTTATGCATAGTTGTCGCTGGATTTCAAGTCCTTTCCAGCTTTCTGCTTTGTCCTTTCCAGTTGGAGGTGTTAATGAAACTCCAACTTCATTCTGCAGCACAGCATATAAATGAGAAAGAGATCAGTGAACATTTCCTTGCAAGAAAATAAGCATAATGCATGTGACTATTACTACAGAAGTCTTGATGTACCTGATAGTATTCATCAGCTTTATCAGAGTGCACTATATGAATCTTCAATGCTTTTGGACCATAGAATGTCAAGGATGTCTCAGGGAGAACCTAAAGGGACCAGGAAAGGAAGTAATTCAGTTCATAAAATACATGGATTAGTAGTTCATGAAGGGAATCAAGAGTTCCAAAGAAAGACACCTTTAACACATCAATGCGGACAAGACCTCCCCAAAATATTGTGAAACCATTCAGGCCATCAGATTCCAATTTCTCTGCAATCCCATTTTCTCCAGCGACAATTGCATTCTGATAACACCAAAATCCAAATTCTCAGCGTAACACTCAACCCAAAACAGATCTTTACCTGAAGTTGTTGTGAGGAGAACTTACAGGAAAGACCTGTGCCTTTAGACGACTCCTTGGAGCAAGGATTGGTAGATCTTCTGAATGTACAACTGCAGCTTGCCTATGGTGCAGGTGAACTCCAGGTGTGTCAAACAATTTCTGTTAAAAAGAACAAGAGATACATACTTCAGAAGGAACTTTCCGAAGAAATTAAATAACTGAATCACTGGTGGGCTGCCAAAATCAGTATACCGCTCCTCCAAGGAATGCATCAATCTGAATTGGACCTAGTGTAGTTCCTGGAACAGCAGATTGTATCGGTTTATATTTCCGAGCAGCTGCAGCAGCTGGATCCCGCTCAGTCATCATTTCTAGAGTATCACATTACAAAAGAATCAATACATCAGATGGCTGCTTTAATCAATTCCAATATTCACACCTAGAAGTGATGTGGAGCAAATTCAGTGACCAGCGACAAATAGTCAACTACTCCCCAAATGGACAAAAGATTCAAGAATTATTTGTTTTATCTATTAATACCACATATCTTAGGTCAACTTGGACTTACTCAGTAATGCATTGATGAAAGCCGACTTCCCAACATTTGCTGAACCCTAAAGCATAAAAAGTATGTGAAGTCAGTTGACCTGGAATTTGAACTCGTATAGAGGTACTCATGATACAGTGAACTATAGTGCAAATGTTTCAATTTCATATCTTTCAGTTCGTCATGATACTTACAAGAATGTACACATCCCGACCCTGCATTATAAGAATACGGGGCAAACATTATTAGTTGATGGAAACAATTAAAGCTCAGCCAAGAAATCATTCATAAAGTGGAGCAGAATGGTACCTTCTTCTCCTTCTGAATTTCTGCTATAACTCCTGTTATTCCAACTAATGATTTTGAGCTTGTGAGATGGACACTCAAAACACTAGAAGCAAAGAAGATGGGTATATCAATACAATGAGATTTGGTGATACCAAAACACAGTATGTATTTCAGGAAGAACAAGCCAGTGATGAGACGACAAACTTTAGCTTCTTTTTTGTAGTAGCCTCCACAACCCAATCACCAATACAGTTAAAATCAGTCTCTTTTGGAAGGAGATCAATCTGTCGGTGTAAGCAGGCATGAAGTTCAGAAATTGTGCATAATCTCTATACTTCCAATCAAAGTCAGAAGGCTGCATATAGAATGGAAGGTACTTACCTTGGTTATCACTAATATTATCGGATTTGCGCCTGCGAGGTCACGCACACGAGCCAAGAAGCTGCCATTGAAGTCGACAATGTCAACCTACCTCGCAGAAATATTCATCCAATAATCAACAATCTTTACCCAAATGCCAGGGCAAATTTTTCAGTTGTTCAATAGAGACGAAATTTCAGTGGAATTGCTCACCAGTTTGACAATTAAAGCCTTCTCATTGCGCAAATGAGACAGCTTTTCCCGGAGCTCATCCGCAGTAACGAACTGCTTCCCACCGGAATATCCTCCATTCCCACCAACTGCAGTGATCATGTGTCCATGAGACAAGAGCTTGCACCTTCCACAAAGCACAGTCCTAAGCTGGCGATGCTTCTTCTTCTGCGACCCCAACCGAAACAGAAAAATAAGAATTCGGACTTCTCAGAGTCAATTTCACAAACAGTTGGAACGCACCAATCTATGAACCTACCAACTCATAAGTATCGACCGCCACATAACCAGGAGCATCAAGCTCCGAGGTCTGCAACGGAGCTCCGCAACCATAACAGCAAGCCACCGCCGTATTCACCTTCAAGGCCTTAACTCTATCGTTCTTCCTCTTCTTCTTGGCCTCTTTCATCACCAGCTTCGCTGCCTCGAACGCTCTCTGCCGCTGAAGGAACTGTTCACCTCGACCCGGAGCAGCCGCCCCTCTTCCCCCGTGTTCCGGTACAGAAACCGACACTTCGACTTCGTCGTCGGAGACCGGCAATTCGTGTTGAGATTTCGATTGCGCGACATTACAGATTGCGGGATGGCTCTTCGAGTTAATCCGGATGAATTGTGGGTTAACACACGTCAGTCGGTGCGGTAGAGATATCGGCGACAGAAATGCAGAGAAAACTCCCGGCGCCATAGAATGCTCTAGCTCGGAAGAGCCTGTGAAGTTTGTAACTTTGCAGTCTTGCAGTTGCACAAACTTATCTCGATTGCTTCGAAGTTCAAAGTTCTGCACCGCTAGATACGTTTTTTTTCTCTATTCTGGAGATTCGTCCGAAACGTCTGTTTGGATTATTTTGCTTGGTCAATTACAGAAACGATCCCTAGAGTTTGGATTCACTGAGTAACTAATCCTCAATTATTAATCTCTTGCAATAAAATCTGCGAGGAGTCAATGTGTGAATTTGTGTGCATAAGAACTCACAAAAAGTAAAGGGTAAATGACACATTTGGTCACTGAGATTATTAAATTGTGTCATGTTTAGTCACTAGAAAAAATAAATATCAATTTTGGTCACTCGAATTACCGAAACTGGTCAAATTTAGTCACTCTCCCGTCAGTTTCCGTCCAACTCCATTAATGTAGTTGGACGGAAACTTTTGGGAGAGTGACTAAATGTGACATGTTTCAGTAATACGAGTGACTAAATGTGATATTTTTCAATAATTCGAGTGACCGGAGTTGGACAGAGGCTACAGAAGAGTGACCAAATGTGACCTGTGTCAGTAATCCGAGTGACCAAAATTGATATTAAATTTTTCTAGTGACTAAATATGACACGATTTAGTAATCTCAGTGACCAAATGTGTCATTTACCCAAAAGTAAATAATAAAATATAAAAGTAAAATACACTTGTATATCCAAAACTTTCATAGTTGTACCAATAATATCCAAATTTTCCGAAATATCACTTATATCCAATTTCGTCACATTTTTAATGGTGTTTTTGGACATACAAGTGTATTTGACCAAAAATATATTGGGAAATGGATAGATTTGGCAAAGAACAATTTTAAAACATGGCTATAAGTGATATTTCGAGAAATTTGGATATTATTGGCACAACCGTGAAAGTTTTAGATATATACAAGTGTATTAAACCAAATATAAACCATAAATAACATTTCCCATTTTCCCTCGAAAAAACTAGGCAAAATACACTTTCATAGCCATAACTTTTCGCGTTATGACAAATATAGCCAGTTTTTGAAAAATACAATCGTATAGCCATTCCGTCCCAAACTTTAACGGCAACATTGTAAATGCTCACTGTACTAACGTTTTCTGGTGATGTGGCGATTTTTTGTTTAAACCAATCCTAGGTGGAAAGTTTCATTTCTTATTAATTTATTATTATAATTGCAATAAAAAGTAAAAATAACAATACATAAAAATGGACATGCCTTCTTCATCTTCTTTTCCCCTTCTTTCCATCTACCCAGGAGACCCATCCGGATCATCTCTTCCCCGTCGGTTGTCGTCGATTGACTTTCACCCATATTATTTTGTCCCACTTCTCAGTAAAACCCCTCCACCATCACTGCAAATCGACGGCGACACACATAAATCCATTCCCCTCAGCCCAGCGAACAAGAAAATGCATTTTCAACGACCCATCGAGTCGGAAATAGCTAGGGAGGAGGCCACGGAGTCACCAGCAGTCGAGGAGTCAAGGTCGCCAACTCCAACAATCTCTTCCGACGCCGCCATTGTCGCGAAGCTCCACGATTTATCCAGTCCCATCCGACTTCTCCACCGCCACCGCTAAACAGAGGGAATCACATCGTCTTCTCCAACAAGATCTCGTCTTCTCCAACCGCCCACCACAGCCAAAACTTGATTCATTGACCCCCTAACAGAAACCCATCGAGCAGAAACTCGATTCTGCAGAAAAGAAACACGATTTCGCCGCCAAAACCCATCTTCCCAAACTTCATCCTTCTGCACCAGATTCGCATCCAAATTCAAATTCAATGTCTTGACTCCTCCCCAGCAGCAGTTTCCTCTTCACTCTCCCCACCGGCGGCCTAAAATCCACAACTAGGTTAAGCTCTCTTCTCCTCTCTCTCTCTCTCTCTCTCGTCGGCGGCAAAAATGGGTCCAAGCGCCTCCGCAACAAGATCGCCGGCTTTTCCACCCACCTGAAGAAGCGGATCCAGAAGGGTCCCGTCCGTGGCATATCCCTCAAGCTCCATCAGAAGGGTCTGCATCCTTGCCGATCGCCGCATTCTACCATCTTCGTCAAAAATTTCTTGCTCTGTGGTGGAGAAGAAGAGTGGGAAAAGAGATAAGGGAGAGAGAGAATGGGAAGGGAGAGTATTTTCTGAAAGAGAGAATTGTGGTGAAATAAAATAATTAAGAAAATTATTTATAAAAAAAAAATGAAATTGAGGTGGCTGTCATGTGGCATACATTTGATGACGTGTACATCCACATCATTGGAGAGTTAACGGTGTTAAATTTTTGTAACGGAAATGGCTAAAGTTGTCAAACAAGTTTTCAAAAGTGGCTATACGAGTGTATTTTTCAAAAAGTGGCTATATTTATCACAACGCGAAAAGTTATGTCTATAAAAGTGTATTTTAAGGAAAAAAATCCTACAATAATTGACATAAACAGCGGGAAATATTACATACAGATCCCAAACAGAAATACAGAATTATAAGGAAATGAAAAATTAAACGCCGACACCATCGGAAACCCCTCTAATGGAATCCGCCGGGACTTCAGGCGGGAACACAACGTTATCATAAACAAGCCCCGCAACGCCCGCTCCGATCAACGGCCCGACCCAGTAAACCGCCTGGTTCTTCAACTTCCCGGCGATGACGGCCGACCCGAAAGCACAAGCCGGGTTCATCGACCCGCCCGAGAACGGCCCAGCCGCCAACACACCCGCTCCAGCCGTGAGCCCAATAACCAGCGGCCCAATCGCGACCAACGGCCCACGTCTCGGGTCACTGCAAGCGTAGACCGTGTACACCAACACAAATGTGAAAAGCCCTTCCAGCATCGACGCCCCAAATCCCGTCATTTCCTCCGCAATCGCGTACGTCGGAACACGCTGCGACAAAAACAGAGGAAGACCCAATTAGGTCAAAAACTGAAATTGATGGGTACCGAAAAGGATGAAACTGATAGGGATTACTTGGGAAACAGTCATGACTCGGAGGACGAGGGAAGCGAAGACGGAGGCCAACATCTGGGACAGCCAGTAGAAGAGTGCGGTGGGGACGCTGATGTGGCCGCCGACGGCCATTCCGAAAGTTACGGCGGGGTTGACGTGACCGCCGGAGGCTCCGGCGGCGATGTAGACGGCTGAGGAGAGCGCGAAGGTGTTGGCGATGGCTACGGTTACTAGACCGGACGGGTCAACCTCTGCTTCAGGGGTCAATTTCTCTGTTTTTTTTTTCCCAAACACGAAAAATCAGACCGTAATCAGAACCCAGATGAAGAAATACGGTTATCAATTGATGAAAGGAGATAGAGAAGAACACGTTAGACTTACTCGACGCCATGGAAGAGCCGACAACAGCGAACACGAAGAAGAAGGTGGAGATGAATTCGGCGAGATACGATCGGAGTGCATCTGGCGTGATGGATTGCCGGAAACGGGAGGAGAGGGCGAGAGGAGGCATTTTCCTGATCAACATGAAATCACAAAAACAACGCTGAATTTTGGCACAAAGGCAGTTTCTTTCTTGATTTTACTTAACAGTTAGTTATGGTGATTGTTGTAGGAAGAAAACAACACACAGGGATGCGTTAGAATCATAATACAGAGTAGTGATAATCACGGCAGTCTTGCATGTATATATAATCGTTTGAAGGGTTGCGACCGTTGGCTCCAAGAGGCTCTGTGATTTGAAAATCCAACCGCCAAATTTTGATTTGTGCCAGATGGTGGTTTTCCATAATCCATCGAAGATTAAACTAACGAATTGAACTTTTAGTAATAACTAGCTACATCATAAACCAAAAACCACTCCTTGTATGGACACTGGACAGTAACCACATGAGAATAACCCACAAGCAAAAAGTCTGCAGCTTTTCCTGTAGGACACTGCACTACTGCAGAAAAGTTTCTTCTGAATCAGGCAACAAATAAAAGTTCCCTTCAAGCAAATTTGATTCAGGACCACCATTAAATTCCATATTTCCTTGATCCTAAAAGCAATAACCAAAAAAACCACATTTATACAGTAGAAAGTCTGAAACTTTCAACTTGGTAACTGCCATATTGCAGTGATTTAAAGTCCCCAAAAACCTAACCAGAGACAGATTGCTTTTCTTTTTTTCCCATCTCCAAAATTACACACAAACGAACTTCTGCGGGAGACTATGCATATTGGGGTTTTTCTCAGTCCTTGATGGTGAGCTTCAGCAGTCGAGGTGGTTTGGGTTTCAACACCGGCCGGACCTCCGTCTTGAACAGAAGAAAACAGAGGTTGTCCACCGAGAAATACACGAACCCGCCGTTGGCATGGGTCACAAACGACCCGAAACTCTTCCCCGCTATGCAGTGCCACGCCGGCCCGTACGCTCCATCAAACTCCTGATCACCCCACAAAAAAAAAGTAAAAAACAATCAAATCAAGTACTGAAATCAAGTAAAGGCGGTCGATTTTGAGTCAACGGAGCTTAATTAGACGAGAAAAGTCTTCCATTGCGGTTGTTGGGTTAAAGCGGAAAGGGAAAAAGGAACTTCTTTGGGTACCAAAAACAGAGTCGGGCAAAAAAAAAACAGAGGAATGAACTCTCTGTCACAGACCTTCTTCAAAAACATGGCGAGAAGGGTGGGATTGGGGCGCTTATCGGGGCAAGCATCGAGGAAAGCTCTGGTGGAACGGAAGGCGCGCTCCTGCATCGTCCCCGGCATGTCGGCGGATCTCAGCCGGACGTTGAAGTCGACGGCGATTGCCGCCAGCTTCACCTCGTGATTCGCAGCAGCTCGCCTCACCACGGCCGGGACAGCAAGCAATCTCGGAGGCCTTGGTGGTGGTGGTTGGAAGTACTGTACCATTGCTCCGTCGTTGTGCTTCTCCAGCGTCGTGCTTTTCCTCTTCTCTTCTCTCCCGCCGGTTTCTGCCCGAAGCTCTTCCATGGAAGCCCCTCGACAGAGAGAGAGAGAGTGGAGGTAGAGAGAGAGAGAGAGAGAGAGTTGAGAGATGCGTGTTATATGGGCAAAAGCTGAAATGGGTTTGAAAGCGTTTGAACAAGAGGTTTGACTGAAATCCCAGGGGAGAAGGAAAAGGACGGATTAAATAAAAAGAAAGAAATTGGAAATGTCGGTATTGGCTTGGGCGCTTGGCAAGTTTTCTGATCTGTTCTGGAAACAGACAAAAGGAAGAGCTTCCCTTTGCTGTTTGGTGTTTTCCATGAAAAATATAATAATAGTAGGGATTAAGGGGTGGTTTGGCGGGCATGCATGTTTAGACTTTAGAGTGCATGGATTTCAAGATTCTATGGATTATGCAAGTAGGATTGTAAAAATTCATGCAATGTCATATGATACAATATGTGGTTAATACGATTTCTTGAAAATTGTATGATTGTTCGATAGTTTCATGAGAAAAAATCATGGGCAAACTACTATATACTTTTTTCATTCCATATAAAGAAAATATTTATGTATTACAAATACATTATTTAAATTTTTATTGGCTTCAAAATGATAATTATATAATTAATTTGCATTACGAAAAAGTTTATAACATAAGTTAAATTTTACATAATTTTTTGGATGAAAATTCTAAAACTAGACTAAATTGTTGACCATCTAATTAATTTGCATTACACAAGAGTTTTGTAAGATCAGTTATCTTTCTCATGACAATTTAATCAAATGTGGTACTTTTGTAACTTAATTCACTTATTATTAGTTAAATTTTCTTTACTGTTATCTGAGATATTCACAATTATGCAAAAGTTCCGTAAAATAAGTTTAATTTTTATTCATATACCCATTTTATCATAAATACTTTCTCTCATATAATCTGTTGTTTCGATAAAAAAAAAAATCATCTCCAATGCCCTATTTCACTATTAGCTATTTCTCCCCTATAAACAACTATGTATGCACTTTTTTAATTCACAATACGAAAAGTTCAGTAATTAAAAATTTTACATGTTAAACTTATTATTAGCTACAATTTTCATCATCTCATCAATTATTATTACGAAAAAGCTTTGTAATGTAAGTTTACGTTTACATAGTGGTTTAATTAAATGTAATACGTTCCCTACTTGATTTTATTATTAGATCACACATTGTAAAATATTTATATAACAAATATGTTACATAAAGCTTACAAAGGATAATTATTCCTTATGTATCAATTAAGTAGAACATATTACATAAGACTTTCGTAATAGTAAAGAAACAATATAAAGCTTATCGAGGGATCAGAATTTTTTTTATCTATCAATGAAATACATGTAATATGTAAGTCGTATGTTATATAAAAATTTGAATGAAATTTCTAAATTTTAACTAAACTGTTGACCATCTCAACAATTTGCATTACACAAAGGTTTTGTAAGGTCAGTTAGTGTGATCTTTTCGTAACTTAATTTACTTATATTACTAAATAAAATTCCTTCACTATTACCTACAACATTCACTATCTCATTAATATGTATGATGCAAAGGTTTCTTAAGTTAAATTGATTTTGCATAATAGTTTAATCAAATATGAGAGTTATCCGTAACTTCATTTTATTATTAGTTTATTACCGCTGCGAACTAGTGTAATTGAAAAATCATGTATTATGAAAGTCAGGGGGCCAATGCTAGAAAGGTAATTTATGCTCGTTATTGCCAAGCATCAAGGTCTAGTAGAATCTTTCAATTAGGAGAGATTTTGTAGTATGGTCAACGAAAGAGTAAACAATAATCACAACACTATCTCGGACAATACGTGGTGTAATACGATCAATGATGATGAAGTATAAAGATGTCGACATGTGGACAACCCATATAAGAACAAACATATAATACCAAATTTTTGGTAATAAGTGTGTTGAACTAAAACAATTACAAAGGGTGGATTCTTATTTGGTGTTTTCCCACTGAAGTGGTCGATATCTAGAAATGGAAGACGGGGAGTAGTTATGCTTTTGACAGTATACGGAAATGCAAGAGAAGGTAGTCAATGGAAAGAATCTCACCCCAGACAATAATGAACTTGTACGAGACAGAGGGTAAAAGATTTGGCAGCAGGGACATGCAGTACAGTTTACAAAGCTGCACAGAACTATAATAAAGAATGGACAAGTCAGTAATTTAATATGGGGAACGTGGCTCAAACTTTTGTACTCAGGAAATCCATATGCCAGAATTCCCCTTCTTCTTCCCTCATATTTTTCTGGTCCCAGCACATGTATTCATGGAAAGAAAGCACAGCTCCCAGCCGGCCATTGCATCAAGCCATAGATGAAGATGAACTTTTTTCAGGGAGAGAGAGAGAGGGAGACAGAGAGGGTGATCAATCGTTTCCAAGGACTATGGAATTCACTCTACAAAAGGGGGTGCCACCAAAGGCGATAAGTATGTAGTTCAAGTTTGATTTGTTCTAAAGCGAAATCGAGGACAATGAACAATAATCTCGCATGACCAACGGTGTTTCACTCATGGAGGTGGTTTGCTTCTATAGAACCTGCATTTCCAACTGAGCTGGACCCTTATCTGATGAAGATGGAGCTGCGTGATCATGGTTTTCGGCGGTGGAGGTCTCTGCTGCTGACATCTCTTGGACGGGAGGGGGGTTCACAATGGTCATCGGCATGACGAAGTTATCTGAGAGGCGGCCCTTCATTTCCCTGTGCTCCTGGCAGAGAGCGCACCAGTGCATGCAGCAGTGCACCATGCATGGGTCGCATGGAGCGTTCTGCAAAAACCCGATTGAGAGGTATTAGTCATAATAATTGAAAGCTTCATGTTCTTATGAGTTCAAAAGGGCAATTCGCTTAAGAACAGGATGATACACCAATTAGGCATGATTGATGCAGGCGGCATGCTAGGAATTAAAGTGGTCTAAGCCTGAAGAGTTCACATACAGATGCATCTCTAACATCAAGGAGTGGCCAGGAATTTCATCACAAACTATCGAACCACAAACAAGGCCAGCAGCAGTGTCATCCCAAGGCTAGAAAGAACTAGAAATCCAAGATCATACAATCTCCTCGAAGAGTTTTGTTTACAGATCAGTGAAACCTGTCAGAATTACCAATCAGAACGCATAGCACTCCCAGCATACACTAGTGCACTTGCTTTGCAAATGAACGCAGCCAGGGTCCAACGATCAAGTTAGCGAACCGAAGACAGTAGCAAAAACTCGGAGAAACAGAAGAAAAAAATTACCTTCAGATGATACTTCTTCTGCAAAGACTGCCTCGCCAGACCGGTGTAAATACCACACATCCACCAAGCAAACAACAGACCCTCGCATATAAGGAACGATGTATTTGGATCCACTATGACCCCATGGGAGAGAGCCGTCACTGCAGCAAGAGCAATACCACCTTCAATGCATGCAGCGTGACAGAGGCATGGTGTAGTCCATGGTGTATCATCTCTCATCCTCTCGACATTCCGCCCAAACAAGACACAGGGACAGAATAGCCCTGTCCAACCTGCAGAACAGCCATAATAGTGCAAGAACAGCATCACTCAATACTCCGGAAACCATGATGAACATCTCATTTCTCCCAGTAAAGGAGGAGATTATATCCTAATATTTCACAGGCTTCTCACACAAATGTGCGGAATTTCGTTTACCCGCCCTCCCGAGGCATTTACCCTTCATCATTGAAAACAATCCCAATAGAACAGGCATCAAAGGATCAGATATCAACTGCACATTAGCCATGACAAGATCTCAAAACGGAGCCTTGCTTCATCCATCAACGATCATAGAGCATTTTAGATGCGAAAATCTGAATAGGAACTTACAGCTTTCGGAATCTTCAGCACATCCAAAGATCCCAGTACTCCAAGGCTCGTCGGCCGCCGGCTCAAAGTCCTCCGGCAACGGCTGCCCACACTCATTGCACTTGCGAACAGTCAACTGCCACGAGACATTTATCCACCAATTAACGACAGGATCTCACAGAGACAACGCCGCCAACCCAAATTTCACGGCAAATCGGACAGACTCCGCCTGCCTCGATTACAAAGTGGGACATCGAAACATCACAAAGAAAGGGTCTCGGAAGAATTCCGAACCTGAGGGACATCGATGGGCTGATTGAGCTCGCCGGGCTTAATCTCGAGTGGGGCTTGCTCTTTGGTCAGCTTGACATAACGCGAATTCGTGCCTGCTTCCGCCATCTCCGGAAACCCCCAGATTGCCGCAGAGAGAAGGAACCCCCGACTGGTGTAGGGTTTAACCCAGGCAGATCCAAAATGCGAGGAGAAAGCACGAATGAGATCGGACACGGAGTATCTAAAGAGGTAATGGCGAGGATCCAGAAAACCTCCCCGGAAACTGGACGAGAGAAAATTGGTCGTTGGCGAGGTCAATCTCGTGGGGGGAAAAGACGGTTTGGTGGTGGGGTACTGTTAGGGCTGGGCATGCGGGCGGATCATCCGCGGGTTTGGGCCGACCCACCCGCATTTGACCCGAATTTCGTTAAGTGGGTGGGTCTGTGGGTGGGTGACGGGTTGCGCTGGGAGCCATCCGCCGGGTGGTGGGTGGGTTGTGGGTGAGTGTGCGGGTGACCCGCTCAACCCAACAGCAAAAAAATCAAAGTCGTTGGCGCTAGAGAGAGGAGAGTGGAGACGTTAGATTTAAACTCGGACTGGTCTTGGAGTTTGAACCTCAAAGCCAACTTTCCAAATAGAGATCCCCTCTTATTCCCTTTACTTTTTCCTCTAATTCTTGTGCCTAGATCAACGCTCTTTCCTTTGTGGAATTATTTTCCTTAGTTCCTTGCACCTAATAATCGTCTCAATCTGTAGAAAACTCTTTCATAATAGAATTTCTATCCAATTTAAGAACTAATTCGACATTTTTCGCCCTATTTCAACTTCTGGTTTCCCTCGATGATTCTCTTCACCTATTATCATGTCAAGTTGAGTCCTTTATATTATATAAATTGTGATGTGGGTGAACCCACAAACCCACCCGCATCATCCACCATCCGCCCGACCCAACCCGAGACTAAATGTGGGTGGGTGGTGGGTTAAAAATGATCAATCCGTTTTAGCGCGGGTGAGTGCATTTTATGGTCAAAATCCACCCGACCCACCCAATGCCCACCCCTAGGTACTGTATTGTGGTTTCTTTAAAACCCAGGTTTATGTCTATCCAAAAAAAAAAAAAAAAAAACCAGGTTTATGAATTATGACACCGCTAAGGCAAGTCATTTGGTCCGGCTCGGCCGGCAAGCGGGTTAGACGGTGCGTTCGAAGTCAATGAACGTGTTTGTAAAACTTGTTTATATAGGATGAGTTTAGTAAGTGTTGACTTAATAAATTTGTAAATCATAAAAATTATTGGTAATCACAAGGTAACAACTCTACATTTTTTAAGTGTTGACTTGTGAGTGAACCCGCACATCCAACCGCACCATCTACGCGACCCAACCCAACCTGAAATTAAGTGTGGGTGGATGATGGGTGGAAAATTATTAATTCATTGAAGAGTGAATTAATTAATTTTACGATCAAAATTCATCCGATTTGTCCGTTGCCCACCCTTAAATGCAAGAATAAAAGCAAATTTGTAGAAACTAAAATGTAATTCGCCAATCTCTTACATAATGTTTTCCAATGTACACTATAAGTTTTCATGGGTGTTTACATCATCCAGGTGCAAATTTGTGTGTGATGAAGGAAAATCTCACATCTTCAAGCTGCAAACTATTACAACATGAGTTTATAATCTTAGTTTGTTGCGTCTCTCAGGGTTCGTTTGAGATTGTTATTATGTTTGTATTGTTTAGAATACATCGTATTTTTTTATTTTTTAGCTAATACAATACACGAATTGTTTCCGTGATGTGACACAAACTATCTTTCAAAATGAGTGATTGTTATATCTCAGGTTTTTATTTAGATGGTTGAGTTGAGATTGTTTTATCTCAATTTTAGTTGATGTAACATTCACAATCACACATACCAAACACTATATTTTGCAATGCATCAACATGTATGATAGAATACATGTATTTAAAACAATATATATGTTTAACAAATATTATACATGCATTTACAACAATATATCTATTTAACAATTGCAACTTCCAAACAACCTCTCATTTTCTCATTCACCTGAGTCTCAAAATACATATGCACAAATCGACTTTTTTCCTCTTACGAAGCCCAGCATCTATTGAAACGACCTGTCCCTTTTAAACAAACCAAAATGCACGTGGCTCCGGAGCCGACTTAAAACAACCTCAAAATTTCATTAAAATAAATACAACTGAATACTTTTCAAAAGAAATGCCTAAACATTTGGGCAACCTCAATCAATAGTCAATAAAACCACCTAAATTATGAACTTTGAACCCCCAGTATATACTCATAATCATGAATCATAAAATAACTAACTATATCTAACTCTAGCTCCTTGCTGAGCTCCCCTCGATCTCGTCCACTCTTGTGCATCTTCTCGCATTGCCTTGCCTCTTCTCGAAATCCACCTCTGATAACCCTTTCTCAACCTGGTGAGTGAGAGAGGTTCAGGCTCGTCGTTACTTTCTAAGGTCTTTGCCCTAAGCAAACTCCTTACTAAACACGTTATTAGCGGGTTTCCTTTGTTAGAAGAAAGTCGTTCTTCAAAGGATTTTTCAGTATTTTCCTCATCGCTCTCTCTAACTTTAGCCTTCAATCTTCTGCTTTCAGGGGCTGTCGCCGACTACTTTGACGACCGGTGACAACTCAATCCTCATTATTTGCTCTTTTCTTTTCCTTGTCATGATCTCTTGTCTTTGATCAAGACTTTATTCTCTCAGATTTTTCAATATTTTTTATTCTCTAGCCTATGTGGCCTTCCATTTTCTTCCTCTCCAATGGAACTTTTGCTCTTTGTTCGATTATTGGGTCTTCTATTCTAGGCTTGCTCTCTCCTTTTTCAAACGCTCTAACTTCTCTCTATTTTCTATCGTCCTCTTCATAGGGCTGCCGCCGGCACCACTCTGGTGACCGGTGGTGGCCCAAAATCTCTATTTTTTTTTCCTTCTGTTCGTTCTCTTCTCCCCGGAGTTCTTTTGTGGTTCCTTGCTCTCCGATTTCCGTTGGCTTTTCCGGGTTCCTTTCTGTTTTTTCAGCCCTTGTTGTCTTTGCATATCTATTTTGTTTCCTGCCCTCGATGGCTCTTCCAGCCCTTGGTGGCTTCTCTCGGATCCTAAGTGGTTCTCTCCCACAGTCCTCCCTAGTGGAGATGTTGTGTTTTGTTCAGATCTAGTTTTCTAGATCTGTCCCTCTGTTCTGAGTACGGAAGATGCAAGTTGGGGGTGCTTCTGTTGGTTTGCTTTTGAAGACTCCCCCATTCTTGGTGTGGTCGTCCCCGTGGATGACCGCGTTCACCGTTTCTCCTTTGCCGTTGGGCTCTTTGCTTGTTCCTTGCATTGTTGCCAATCGTCTTTGTGGGTAGCGGTGTCTCTTCCGAACGCCGAATCGGATGGTTCATGTTTCTCAGAGATCTGTGTTCTACCTTGGGGTTGATTTGCAGTGTGGGTTGTTGTGGATTGTGTGGGTTCTGCTGCTCTTTGGATGTCTCGTTTTGGCTGTGTTTCTGCAGGTGAAGCTCTTGCTGGTGGGTCTTTGTTTCTTGTGGCTTTGTTGGCATTTTCAACCCTTGGTGTACGCTGTTCTCTGTTTTGTGTCCATCCGTTGCCGGCACCCTTTCTTTGTTTCAGCTCTGACCAATCCGGTACAGTCCTGTCCACCGCCATGTAATCTCTTTGGTGATTCACTGTGATGGGTCGTCTTCGAACAATTCCCAGGAGGCGGCATTTGGTGTTGCAATGTTCAATCATCATGGTCAATTCTGTAATGGATGAGCTGAAGCTTTGCTTTGAGTTTTCTGATAAATGAGGATGCAAAGAGTGTTTCGGATGTTTTGTGTTGCGGCTCAAGAATGGAATGGCACTGTCTTGTTGGATCATGCCTGGTTTTCTTTTGTTCTGATCTCTTCCTCGTGTGTGTTCCTCTGGATGTTTGAGGTTGTTCTTTTTTGGTCCCTTTTCACATTCTGTATCCCCTCTTTGTAACTGATTTTATTGGTTAAGCAATACAAGTGACCCTTTGTAAAAAAAAAAATTATTCTAGGCTTGCTCTTCTTGGGAGCAGGTAACAGTTTGGAAGTTTCGTTCCAATCTGTGGGGCGGTGGTTTTTCTCGATTTGGTGGCTCATCGCTTATGATGTAGCCATTCTCTACTCCCCCCTCCAACTTCCTCTTGGTATGCTGCTTGGTAGGTCGTCAAATCGTGGAGGGTAGAGTCTTGTTCAGTCGGTTTGGTTGATCTACATGGTGTTTTCCTTGGATTTTGGGGGCTCAGTTCAGACCTTCTGCTCTCTTGGACCTGTTAAAGGACGTTAGTGTCGTTAACGACAAATTTCCTGAGGACTAAACTATAAACCAGAAAGTTAGTTTCATGACCCAATCCTACTTTGTGTCAATGTTTAGGAAACTCTATCGGCTCGCCGATCCAACTGAAAATACCGAATACCATACCCAAAATGATAGACAGTTTTCATGGTAAAAAATGGTTGAACTGTAATTAAATTACGATTTTACTACAAAATACCCTACTATTGAATGTTCCGATATGGTTTCACTAATATTTGCTTTGTGTGCAACCATCAATCCACAAACCCAACCCTCGTCCTCGGTCCTGCACAAATCGCTACTCTTCTTCCACGCACTACTAGCCCCCCACCCCCCACCGTCTTCTTCCTCCCTTCCGCGCCGGGACAACCACCATAAACCCTAGAAATCCCGTTTCCGTGAACCCTCTCTCTTTCCCGTTGGACCTCGGTTGCTTCCCTCCTCTTCGCGCCAAAAAAATCCCTGCACCGCGGCGTCATGGACCTCCAGAGAGCAATGTTGGACGAGCTCATGGGCGCAGGTAAACACTTCTGCGATTGATTGTGAGTGGTTGTTGGATACGTTGATTCCATTCGTGCTGATTTTGATTTGCCATTTCCGGTTTGGGGTTTGGTTGTTAGATCGTAATTTGACGGAGGACGAGAGGAAGGATTACAAGGAAATAACATGGGATTCCAAGGAAGTATGTCCGTACTACATGGCTCGATTCTGCCCTCATGACCTCTTTGTCAACACTAAGAGCGATCTCGGTGAGTTTCTGTGTGTGTTGCTTTTTTTTTTTTTTGGGTTCAGCTTTAGTAGTAGTAATGGTTTAAATTCGACGACTGTTCGTAACTTGGTAGGTTCGTGGCTTATTGGGAATTCTGCTAGTTTTGCAAACTGATACACCTTTGGTCATTTGCTTATATTCGCAAATTTGATTTCTCCTCAATGACAGGGGCATGTGATAGAGTCCACGATCCGAAGCTCAAGGAAAGGTAGTGTTGGGGTATCACATTCTCGGTAGTGTGTTGTGATGATTTGTTTCTGCTTTGGTATTGTACATTACCATACCATGGTCTGATCCATTTGATTGGTACTGTTCATTTGAGAATTTAGCTTTGAGAAGTCTCCGAGGCATGACAAGTTCTTGCTCAAATTCGAGTCCGAGCTTGCTCAGCGGTGTGATAAATTGGTAAACCTTCTCTATGCCCGTAGGGGTTTCTATTTCTTGTTGTGGACCGAGTGATACATGATGTTTATTGAGACTCTGCTGGTGTGATCTGTTTGTAGGTGATGGATTTGGATAGAAGAGTTAGACGTGGTCGCGAACGTCTTGCTCAAGATGAAGAACCTGTACCGCCTCCTCCACTATCAGCCGAGAAGTCTGAACAATTAGCTGTGGTTGAAGAGAAGATAAAGAATTTGCTGGGGCAAGTGGAGGCCCTTGGTGAGGCTGGGAAAGTTGATGAAGCTCAAGCTCTTATGAAAAAGGTGAGCTTTAGTTTAACTGGGAACATGATCATATTCCTGCGAGTTTCTTGGGTCTATGGCTTGCTACACAGCATGGTTCATTTACCTCGTTTTTTACGGCTGTGGAAACATTTTTGAGCATGTTTTGTGTTGCGTTTTTCTCAGGTAGATGAATTGAATGTGGAGAAAGTGCTGATTCAAGCACAGGGTGACAAATTGCCGCTGGTCCTTCCGGAGAAAAAGATGGCCTTGTGTGAGATCTGTGGTTCTTTTCTGGTTGCAAATGATGCTGCAGAGAGGACACAATCTCATATAACAGGGAAGCAGCACCTGGGCTATGGCTTAGTTCGAGATTTCATCAGTGAGTACAAGGTAAGTGACAACTTTTTCCAACAGCAACATACATAATCATCATCTTGTTTCTCTAGTTTTTAGTTGGTAATCTGAAAATTTGGAATACACACTCTCCAGGAAGCTAGGGAAATGGCAAAGGAAGAGGAAAGATTAGCAAAGGAGAAAGAAGCTGAAGAACGAAGGAAGCAACAGGAGAAGGAACCTGACAGGAGTCGAAGGAGTGTATCGGGTGAAAGGGATCGCTATCAGGACCGAGACAGGGACAGAGAGCGGGACAGATACCGTGACAATGGAAGGTCAAGGGAAAGGAATGGTAGAAATCGGGATGGTGGAAAGGGTTCCAGGAACGGAAGGGATAGGTACTATGATCGGAGCCGGTCACGGTCCCCTGGGAGGCACAGTGGTAGAAGGAGGTCCTCGAGAAGTCCTGCTCGTCCGTATTAGTGGGTTCAGTAGATAGATGTCTGAGCTTTTAGCTATCCCATGAGGTAGTCATTTTCAATCTCAAGTCTTCTGAACCAGTGCTTTGGAGTCCTACAGCTAAATCATCATCTTGGATGCCAAAATTTTCTTTCTTTCTATATCACAGCTTTAATGAGACTGTACCCCACTTTCATCAGTACTCTTAAGAGGAGAACTTGGTTGAGGTAGGTATAACTTGAAATTTGTGCTACTCGTGTGTTTACCTGAAGCTTGGATGAACTTTATGCCATTACGGAACATCGATGTTAGAGGTATTCTCCTTCATTTCTCTTTCTGTGTCATTTGATGACAGATCTGTTCTGAATTCTGATGGGGCGGACTCAAGATTATGTTGTTGAATGTCACTACTGCTATAGAATGATGATATATTACATGTCTTAGTTTAAAGGTAACAAATTAATATCATCTTTCTTTCATGACCATGACAGTGAATTTTCTTGGTCCTCATATCGTGGATTTTGTATGTCAGCTCAGCTAGAGTGGAGGTAACATTATTTTGAACTGCTAGTTCGTTTCCAGGAATCTCAAATACCCCTTGTTAATGCAAGTTTGAAGTCATCTAATAGCAAGTTCGTGATCACATATTAGTGATTGTTAAGCCTGGTTGAACGTAGGTTTGCTGGATGGTCATAGGTGTAATGGCTTCTTTGCCATTTTCTTGTTTCAACACCACAATGGTCTCAATGGCTTAATGTCCAGGCATATGAGCTGGTTATGGGGTAACTACTTTCTCTTAGCTGGGTGAAGTTTCATTTCAACGTTTTGTAGCTATGCCTTGGAACAACTGTTAATCCATGGTATTGGTTTCAACATGCTTTGAAATCTACTTCAGTGGTACCAGAACTTGCTAAAAAGGTTAAACCAGCTTACGGACTAGCACCGGTGTGGATGTGCGTGAGGTAAACTTAAATGCACCTATGATATGTCTGCAGAATGGCTGTACTTGTATACTAGCTTGCAGGAAAGATAAGCGCTTGGGTGAAAAAGCTGGATGAAATATGTTGATAGGAAGACGACTCTGGCTTATTTGATCCGACCTTCTGTTCTGTAGCATAAGTGTGATGGAATAGAACCCTAATGAACTTGGCTATTTGTACTGCCTTGGCCATCAATACAATGTGACTCTAATTTAGTGAGAACCAGTCATGGATGGGAGGATTCACCTTCGTTATCTATTTCGCTTACTGTGACGAAATTTGTTGTCAAAGACTGCAGCAATTTGCTAATGTTCAATACAGTGCTTACAATGTGGTATGAAAAGCGTAACTTGATCAAAAGGAAAAAAGAGTAGTGTGTTGGATAACACAAATAAGGTCGCACGAGAATCAGAAGCCGAATTGCAATATGATGCAAGAATTTTCTATAGTCCGTAAATTGTAGCAATACAATTTCTTTGTTCTAATCTAAGCTGACACGCCGAATCTTACAAACAAGATTTGCCGTGGGGAAGTCGAGTTGGGTCTCAGATTTCACAAGGTTCCTCAGTTGGTCTCTAGGCGTTGAGAGACATGTCTGAAACGTTGCAAGAGCAGGAGGGACCTCCATTGACAAAGCCGAAAGCACATTGCTCAAGTACTCGATATCGACCGCTAGTTGCTGAGCTCCCTTGTCAGTTATATACTGAATTCCTCTCAACTGCTCTATGTAAAGAGCAGTAGCCCCCTCTGCAACCTGCCAAAGAGAAGGAACCCTTGATCAACAATAATTTTCGAAATAGAGTTGGCATCAACCAAACATATTGGATATATGTTGCATACCTTGAACATCCATTCGGCTGCAAAGAACTGGGCTTCGTCATTGTTGGAATCACTATTTGAAATGCCCTCGGCAAGTGGCTCCATCTGCTGGGGTAAAGTGAGTAGGTACTCCCCAATGCTGGTTACGTAGGCTTGTGGGTAGGCACTGAAGGTTGGGAGATGGAAAGCACTCTGCTCTTCAACTGCCGACCAGATAGGCAAACGTGATACGTCGCTCAGGCGTTGTCTTACCTTAGATATGAGGACATCGTACACAAGTTCATTAACCGTATCAGCGAATCCTGCAACTCTCTGTGATGCGTGGGGAAGAGCGTGAAATCTCGGGTCTTTAGACTGCAAATGCGTGTGAATGATTATTTAGGAATCAGTGATGTGAGCAGATGAAAACGATGTATTTCGTTTTGGCTGAAAAACTAAGTAACTTCAGGAAAAGTTGGGATCTAAAAGTGATTGCAACACATGTAAAATCGTGTACCTGATCCAATAGGTTAAATAGTTTCCGGGCCTTCTCAGGAACATCGACGAGACGTACAGCTGCCACGTCCAAAGCAGCTCTTCCACCCAAAGAAGGTTCTCCATCTCCATCATTATTTCCCCCATGCGAATAGTTGTGGTCCAAACTTGATCCAAACACAGAAAATGACAGACTCGTGCTTATTCTAGCTAGAGCAGCTCTCAAGGATGCTTCAAACACAGAGGATCTGCTTGTCAAACAGTCTGCAACTGTGAGTATTTGAAGGGCACCCTGGACAATTGACCATTCCTCTTCGTTTGAGGACAAGTCAGCTTTCCGTGTACTTTGAGTCCCTTCCTTGGGATCAATAGTATTATTATCCACTCCACAGACAGCCCTTAATGATCTGAGGGTTTCTTGAAGAGAAGAGATGTACTGGAGCATTATATCATCGAGTGCAAGAAGCAGCTCGTCCACCTCAGACCCACCAGTAAAGCTGAGGCATCTCTCAACAGAAGCTTCTAAAAGAACAATTACTTGTGGGATAGACTCTTCCATCCTTCGTACTGTTTCACTCAGTTCAATTCCTTGGGCTCCCACACCACGAGTAACCGCTCCTCTTAGATCAACCCCAGCAATCTCAGACGACAGGATGGCACGCTCCATCTGTCCATACCTACAAGCGTGTAATTTCAATAATAGGCCAGCCAAATGAGATAGTCACTTGGTTTCTGGAGCTGGGGAATACAAGAAGTTCATTGAACTAGAGAATAACAGATCTATTGTGCTAAAAACTCAAACATAGAAGTATTGAACACAGGGGAGACCCCTTCATTTAGTCAACAATAGCTCACCTCTGTTTGTACGATTCATAGGGCAGGTAAACAGCCTTCAGTGTATCCATGAGAACTCGAAGATCAGATTCTGAAAATAAGTGCTGGATATTCCTTGCAAAGGTACCAGTTGTATTGTGCAATTCGATTAGTGCTTCCAGGTGCTTAGTCTGAATCTTGATGCCTTTTGGCATATCTCCCGACAAAATATCCAGTATGCCTGAAATGTTGAATGGAGATATGAACTTCAACAGGCGAGTAAAATAAGAAAAGGAAGAATCTGAAAAGACATAACTACCTTGCTTCTATTGGGGAACTGAGCAATAGCTCAGTTTTTAGGAACAATAATCGTCTAATGGAAACCATTATATATAAACTAGTTATTGGATCGACAGAAAAACATAAGAAATATGACAATGAGGAAGGTAAATGATGATTGGATAGACCTTTTGAAAGTGCTTTAGTTTCAGGAAGGACTTCTCCAGTGGCAAGGTTAAGACGAGAGACAAAACTTGCTCCTACAGCTGCCATTGTCTCAACTAGTAGCTTCGGTACCAGCATCTTATAATCATCAGGGAACGCAACCATGCACCTGTAACAGTAATTTAAGACTCTGGTTTGAAAGATGAGATAGAACTAGCACAAAAAGCATGAAGGTAGACATAATTCACTGACTTCTGATGTTTACTACCCAAGACAATTTATTACAACGATAGCAAAAAGGCCTAACAATACAGCATATGACTTCAACAGTATAACAGAGAATGTGTATCAACTTGTTTGTCCCCAATGACATTCTTTGAAGGCCAAGGTTGTTGCACAATCTGAAAACTAATGCTCAGATGAAGGACCAAACTTTTTAAAATCTAACATATATATTTGTTTGAGCCTGAAAAAGATACCATCTAGTCTACCTAGCAAGTCATTGTTCCTTAATAACTGGAAAGATTGCCTGCCATGTCAAATAGGATTAACTAGCGAAGTCTTCTCCTCAGTTCTAAATGGCCGTCACAGCTTATAATAGCTTAGCTGGAAGATAGAATTTTCCCCTTTTAGAGAAACCAGTTGAGATTGAAATTTTGGGGAACCAAGGAAGAAGAAAATACCACTTCCATTCCTGTTCAAGATACATCAGCAGTTCATCATAGAAGCTCGGCAACCAACTTGAGAACGGAACTGTTGGCAAATCATTGTTGCCTGATGTCCTTTCGAACTCATTCCTCCCATTTGCTTGCTTGGCAGCTTGCTGCCTTGTATCAAAATCTTCCCACAACTGCTTGATGAGCTTCAAATGAACTTTAGTATAGTGCATCTCCAGAGACTTAAACCTGCCAATTCTCATCAGAATTCCACGCAAGTCCTGTGCAACGTCAACCTGTACAACAGTAGGCATTTGAGTGAAACCCCCCAACAAACAGAAATGCAAAAAAACAAAACAAAACTAAAGAAAGAACAAGTTCTCCAGGATCATGGGTAACCTTGCGGTTTGATAATGCGTCGGTTAGACGAGGCTGCACCATGGAATCAAGCCTATCCTCCAAGACCTCAAGTTGCTTTCTCACATTAGCAAATTCAGCAACCTAAAGCAGAGAGAGTTGATAAAAGAATGAGCAACCGAGTTAACACTATCAGCAACATGAAAACATAAAACATGGATGGTAGATCAACGGCACTTGATAATAACCTCGCCAACAGCAGATAAGCAGTGTCTCATATTGGCCAATGTTTCCGCAGCACGAGGAAGATCACCACTGGCAAACACATCCTCCACTGTAGAACTTAATTGGGTTAACCCCGCTGCATCCTGCCATGAAATGCATCAATAAATAAGTAACCAATTCATCATCCAGATACATAACAATCGGTAAATTGCGTTCTTTCCGTTAATTTTCAGAAATGAATACCTGTAGAGTCTCGTATGCAGCTTCCATTCTCTGCTTTACGGTATCAACTTTAGCAAGAGCCGCTATAGATTCAGCCGAAGATCCCTCCGCCTACACAGATCAAACCAAAACGCAGCAGAATTATCAAATCTCCAGCTAATTTGCTTCACTCCCACACTACAACAGTGCACAGATCTCCATTCAATGAAATCCAAAAGAGGAAAACCTTTTTGAGCTTCTGAAGGATTGCGGAGATCGAGCTGCGCAGCGAAACGGCATCATCGCGGAGGCGAACAACGTCACGAGTCGCGCGAGGGACACGGAGGAGCGCGGCGGCGCTTTGCTCCTCCAGCGACGCCGCGATCTCCTCGGACATCATCTGCAGCTTCATTTCCATATCGACGAGGTGGTCGTCGAGGGATTCCTGCGGGTGCCGGGACTGGCAAGCGGCGTTGATCCATTTCTTGGGGTCGAATTTCTCGTCGGAGAACGGACCTAGATCCAGCATCATCTTCCCCGCTTGAGTTGTCGATTACTTTACCTCCGTTTCCTCAGGATTCAAGATTCATCCGCTACAAACTTCCTCAGTCCATTACTCTGCTGAGCTATAATTTTATCAATGGCCAGTCCGCAACTGCTTCAAATATTGAAATTTGATAAACTATTGGGTTTTGATCTTGATGAAATTCTTAATTCTTGTGAGTTAAATGTTATCTTTGAAAGTATATGTGCTATTTACCAATATATTATAGGGATTATTATTGTAGTACTTAAAGTTGAAGGAGTTAAAAATGAGATAGGAAACTGAAAGTATTAAAGTGAAAATTAGTAATTCTTGGGAAGCAAGTAGGACGGGCTGAGGTGGCAAATCTAGAATTATCCATCACTCACAGGATTTCCAGAACTTTCTCACTCTTTCTCTTCCACCGTCTCTAGCACCTTCGAAATCACCTTATAAATTCCATCCCAGACCTTTCAGCAAAGTCGATAGCTATCGGGAAAAGTCTCAAACGGTTGCATTTTCTAGATTTCTGTTTTCCAATCGAAGCTCTGCAACAATGGCGTCCTCACTTGCTCTGAAGAAGCTCGTCTCCTCATCTCTGCTCCCCAGCTCTCTTCGCATGGTTCGCCCGATGGGAGCCGCCGCTCCGTCTGCCTCCCGTCTCTTCAACACAAACGCCGTCCGCAATTACGACGAAGACGGAGACGAACGCCAGATGGATGTCGATCGTCGCTCTCGCCGCCCGTTCCCGCGCGGCCGCGACGATTTCCTCTCAGGTAGTCGTCTTCTAGATCCTCGCTGTACTTCTCCCCCAATTCGTCCCTTATCGCAATTCCGCCACCAAATCCGTGCTTAATTTGATATGTAATTGTAAATCACAGAGGTGTTCGATCCGTTCTCGCCGACGAGGAGCTTGAGCCAGGTGCTGAACCTGATGGACCAGTTCATGGAGAATCCCCTGCTCTCCCCGGCACGCAGCGCCGGAGGCGGCGGAGTCCGGCGGGGCTGGGACGCTCGCGAGACGGAGGAGGATCTGCAGCTGCGCGTGGACATGCCTGGGCTGGGGAAAGAAGATGTGAAGGTCTCGGTGGAGCAGAACACCCTGGTGATCAGGGGCGAAGGAGGGAAGGAATCGGACGACGAGGAGAGCGTCAGGAGGTACTCGAGCCGGATCGATCTGCCGGAGAAGATCTACAGGACGGATCAGGTCAAGGCGGAGATGAAGAACGGAGTGCTGAAGGTGACGGTGCCGAAGGTGAAGGAGGAGGAGAGGAAGGATGTGATTAATGTCAGCGTTGATTGATTACCGCGCGCTGGTGTTTTTCTTTTTCCAGAGTGTGCACTTTCAAGGGTTTAGGGTTTCGTCCGAATAAACGAAGCTGTGAATGTTGACTTCTAGCAGTGTTTTGGATGGAAATGTGATTTAGTGTTCATCTTCGTAGACGCCATTAAAGTTTATAGACCGTCACCGGAGTTCTTCATTCATACTTCAGTTTGTAACACATCCAAATTGAAGAGCTTAAACAACAAAAGGTACAAATTAGATCAATTAGAGAGAAGAAATGGAACGTTTTTAAGTGGTGAGACGTGAATGGTACTTTCTGAACCACATGGAGCAATCCCTGAGCTGGACGGCGCCACGGATGGGGTTGTCGTCGCAATTGCCGGATTTGAACTTGTTCTTGGCAACGAGGAGGCACCCCCAGCAATCGAGATTGCCGAGCTGCTTGTCGCACGTTGCCCCGCCGGTGGCGCCGGTGCCGGAGTGGCAATTAGCCGGGAAGTCACGAGTGTACCTGTAGTCTTCCTCATCGCCACGCTCCCTGTGCACCTTCCTCGTCTCGTCCACCAGCTTGTCGATGAGGTTCGCCACGTTTTTGCTGTACAGCTTGTTCTCCGTCCACCCGGAGCAGCTCGGCCCTCGGACGACGGTCGAGTTGCCGTGCCTGGCTTCTGCGAAGCTCGAAAGGCCGACGAAGAGGAGAACTGCCAGCACTGCCAGTTTCGACATGGCACGATCCATTTTGGGCAATTGCGTACTTTTCTTCTTCGCCCCCGCTGTTTGGTGGTGTTGTTTCAGTTGTGTGTGTGATGTTGGTGAGAAATCATGGAAAGTTTGCTCACCATTTATAGCTCGTCCGGCCGTTTGACATGTTGGATTTTGCACCGTCCAATTTTGGGAACAACCATTGAAGTTGAGAAACTGAATTGTTCTGCTCGAACGGTTGGTTATGCCATATGTGGGCATTTGTACGTGTTTTGGGTACGTTTTTGGGTATTTCCGTGTGAACGGGGAGTTATTTCCCAAATTGGCAAATTCTCTCCCCAACAGTTTGCTGATGATTTAGGGGAACGCGAACTTGAAAGAGGCATGCCATGTGCCCAGTGATGATTTGTGAATTTTCTGGGCCCAAGTTTGGGCCTGAAAGATGGGCTTTGGGAGGACTATCCTGCCGCCGAAGGGCTGATCGGCCTATTGATGCTCGTGAAAGGGAGAACTCTGTGGAGTGTTCCATGGGCCAAGTGGATATTGGGGCATAAGGGTTTTTGTTTGTGGAGCTAATGTAGCGTCTAGCGTGCATAAGCTGATGTCTTGTTTGTGGGAGAAAGAAAATCAACTATCATCCGCCTACCTCCAAGAGGAGATATTTTGGACTAAATATTGTACTTCATTGTTGTCGTGTTATAAATTCAGGTTACAGTTCCTAGTAACGTGGACAATTGCAAAGATTTAATTTGTGTTTAGTGTATTTAGTGATGGAGATAATAACAATTTGAGAAAAGTAAGAGATTGTTGATAGGGAAATAAATTTCAATGTTAAAGAGAAGTGAATATAGTGTTCATTGATTGGATAAGATAAATTCTACTAAGTGAAAATTATGTTTTATATGAATTTGCGATTTTTCAATACTTAGATAATTTAGGCTCTTTTCTAATAGCAAATAAAACGTCATTTCTTCAAATAATTATTATTATGACATTAATAAAATATGTCTGGCCAACGGGTCGGACCCAAATATAGTACAAAACTATAAATAAAGGGTGATGGTCATTCAACCAAGAACAAATTTAAATTTCTAATCCTCTAAATAAGAAATATAAAAAAAAATCTAGTGGTTAGATTAACAGATCATTTCAAACGCTTTTCTTCTAAAATATTTTTTTCTCACTAAAATCAAGTATGTTTATGTGTAAAAAAAGGTATGTTTTCACTCATATTGTTTTGTTTGTTCTTAGCATGAAACTTTGAACCTGTTTTTCATTCGTTTTTATGAAAGATTTACAACACTTACAAATACATAATGAATCAGCGTCACACCCTTAAACATTAAAATGACATATCGTCGCTCATTTTTAATCAGAAATAGATGAATCTAATATCACCCATGCATCATGATCCTTGAATATGGCCGCAAAACTCAATCTCTTGTCAACCATTATCACTTGGAATTTTATTTCTTTTTTAAAACTAGGTACATACTATAGGAGTTTTAGGAAGAGTAATTTGTATTATTATGAAACCAAAAATGGGTTTATATAGATTACAAAACTTGGACAATAAGTAACAGAACCACAATATTAGAAGGAGACTGAAATACTAAGAACTATACTAGAAGGACAAGGAAATATAAGATTATTCCTAATCTATCTCTAACACGTCCCCGCAAGATGATGGTGTGAATAACAACATCAATCTTGACCAACATACACCAATCTTGAAGAACACTCCCCCGCAATGTAATGATATAGAATGTGATGCAAACTCGTCGAACTCTTGTGCTTGAAGAGCGAAGCCAACTAACCGTCGTCTTGGAGACGAAGAAATATTCAAACTCGCAATTCATATGTTGCAACCAAACTCACTCATCGTCAAAAATCGACAAGAAACGAGATTGAACAATAATCAATTGGTTTTAACGATACCAATAAACGTAAACTGGTGTAGGACACGAAGAATTCATCCGAATGACTGTGGTCGGAGAAACTTCCTTTGTTCCATACACATAAAGGAAAGATGGCTGGAGATTGAATGTGGACTCCATACCATACAAACTCTTGAGCAATCAGCTGTAAAAGCCGGAGCTTCATCTCCAATGTAAACGACATTGTTTGATCTTACAGAGCACAAAAAGTTTGTAGAATCGACGACAATGAAAAATAGCGACGAGTGATGATGGGAGAATGGCAACCGGAGTATTGGACTTTGCTGGGGACGAAATACAGGGATGGGGATCGGATTAGGGTATGTAAACAAAGATGACAATGGAATTTGGTGAATGGAGAATGCATGGCATCAATCGACGAAAGGAAAAACGGGACCAGGTGAGTGAGGACTCATCCCTAAAGGATACGCTGTGTTTTAGTAGGGACCATTTTGACATTTTACCACTATGGTTCCTACTGCTTAGCCCTAGGTTTTGTGGCATTAGGGTTAAGTATTTATAGGTTGCATTCTTCTTGTAATCTGTAAGCAGCAGTCATAATAATAAGAAAGAACTGAGAAGAGTTTCTTCTCCGTGGATTAGTCCCGTTCACATCGAACGGGGATACCACGTAAATCGCTTGTGTTTTGTGTTGCTTTTCAGTTTTTACATGGTATCAGAGCAGGTCCTTTGACGATCCAAACCTATGACGGATCCTAGTGGAACTGCCGACGTGAACAACAGCACCATGGTACTCGGTGCGAATAGTGGCGGGTCTGGTGGAACAGCACCGTCGAGCATGCCGGCGGCCTTGAGAGTTCTGGCATCGGACAGTCCGGGTCAGCTCTTTGTTGGGGAGTTGCTGAACGATTCGAATTACGGTGAATGGGTGACAGATATGTCCGAGGCCCTCATCGCCAAAAACAAGATGGGCATTGTTGACGGGACCGTCACAAAGCCGACGAACGAAGAATGGATTGGAGCTTGGCTTCAAAGCGATGCCCTAGTCAAAGGTTGGCTGAAAAATGGGATGGAGAAGGATGTGCGTAACTCAATTCGCTATTCTAAGACAGCTAGAGAAATTTGGGTGGATTTGGAAGCGCGTTTTGGCCAGAGCTCGGCTCCGCGCGCGTATGAGCTGCGACAGTCAATGGGTCTGTTGCAACAGGAAAAACTTTCAGTTTCTACGTTCTACACCAAGCTCCGTGGTCTTTGGGATGAGATGCAGACGATTAAACCTACTCCTAAATGTATCTGCGGCTTGTGTACTTGTGATATTGAGAAACGGGTCCATGACAACCTAGAGAGCGATAGGTTGTTCGATTTCCTTATGGGGCTTGATGATTCATTCTTGACTGTGAAGACTCAAATATTATCTATGAAACCTACGCCTAACATTGGGGAAGCCTACCGGTTGGTTTCCACGGAGGAGCAGCACAAAAACATTGCTGCTAGTCGCCGTCCCGTCGTGGATGCGGCAGCTTTCCAAGTTCGGCAAGACCGTGAGGGTCGGCGTGATGACAAGGGCGATAAAGGGGAAAAGATCCGCTGTCCGCATTGCTTGAGGTCTGGACACACCAAAGAGAACTGTTTTGAGCTTATCGGTTATCCAGATTGGTGGCAAGAAAAGAAAGGGCGGCCAACGGAGAAGGGTAGCAAGCGCCCACAACGGAAGGAAACACCTCGAGCTGCCCAGGCATCCGCGCCTTCTGCGGCTGGGATTAAAATCCCGGGTCTCTCTGGCGAGCAAGTTCAACAACTTGTCCAGTTCCTAAGTCAGACAGGTAGTCAAGGCGCTTCATCAAACCCCGAGGCCACGGCAAACATGGCTGGTAAGGAATGAGTATATCACCAATGATCCTAGTATATTGGAGAATTCAGAAAATGTCACAGGTTATCTTCCGGTTATCGACTCTGGTTGCAATGAGTATATCACCAATGATCCTAGTATATTGGAGAATTCAGAAAATGTCACAGGTTATCTTCCGGTTAAACTACCTAACGGTGAGAGTATTCCGGTAACCAGAATTGGAGATGTTAGGTTATCCCGAGGAATGAAACTCAGTCACGTGTTGAACATACCACTCTTTAAATGCAATCTCCTATCTGTCAGCAGGTTAACGAAAGATTTTGACGTAGCATTGATATTTTTGCACGATTTTTGCGTCGTCCAGGACTTACACTCCAAGAGGATGATTGGTAGTGGGAAGCTTCGCGATGGTCTTTATTATCTTCAGCTGTTTGGTGGCAACAGATCGAGGGCCTTGGCTGCGTCCATTGGTGGTCAACGGATGGACGAGATTTGGCATTCGCGTTTGGGGCATCCATCAGCGGAGAAAACCAAGTTTTTGTTTGATTCTATTCAGAATAAATGCGCGATTGATTCATGTGATTCTTGCATTCGCGCGAAGCAGACTCGGCTTCCTTTTCCTAAGAGTACTATCAAGACTACTCGTTGTTTTCAGTTGATTCATGTGGATATTTGGGGTGGTTTTAAGACCCCTACTCATGATGGTGCTCAATATTTTTTGACTATAGTTGATGATTTCAGTCGAGCTACTTGGATTTATTTGATGCGGTATAAGTCTGAAACAGAACGGTATCTTGAATTGTTTCTCAATATGGCTCACACTCAGTTTCAGCAGGAAGTTACTCGTATTCAGGCAGATAACGGGATGGAATTTCAGACTGATCGACTGCGATCTCTCTATGAGGCTCGCGGCATTCTTCTTCAGACTTCATGCACCGATACCCCACAGCAAAATGGGGTGGTTGAACGTAAACATCGTCATTTGCTAGAGACTGCTCGTGCCTTGATGTTTCGTGCGAATTTACCGTTAAAATTATGGGGCGAGTCGGTTCTTACTGCTACTTACTTGATCAACCGGTTGCCTTCCAAGGTTCTTGGGAATCGTAGTCCGTATGAACTTCTTTTTGGTCGTCCTCCGACATATGACCATCTTCGAGTTTTTGGGTGTTTGGCCTATGGAAAGGACACGCATAAAGGGCTCTCGAAATTTGCTGAACGTGGTCATCCTTCTGTTTTTGTTGGCTACCCCGCGCAACAAAAGGGTTACCGCTTATGGGACCCTGCGGCTC